AGGAGCTGGGAGAAGGGGCCAGTATAAATGCTGCCACCTCCTTCACAGCAGCCATCAGGGTAGATGACTAGGGTGTAAGAAGGTTCTGGGGGTGCCCCTGAATTAGCCAAGAGCAGACACCCAGCCTGAGACAGCTGCCAGCTCTCTGAGCCTGAGGACTAAGTGGGGCCAGCTGAGGGAGATGAATTTCAACCCAGCTCCAGGAGGAGAGCTGGGGATCTTGGTGAGGACAGCAACAATAATTGCGTAAGCTACCCAAGCTCCAGAAGGAAGCCAGGGACTCCTGCTATAAGGAGAGACCTAGAGATTGAAAGATAAGCCTGAGGGGACTGGGAGCAGAGCTTAGTGGGCCAACACCAGAGGAACCCTGAAAGCCAGAAGCCCCTTTTGTTTATTTGGGATATAGTGTTATGTCTCCTTTTTGGATGAAGTTTTGTAATGAGCCCTAAGGAGGGTATTATTGAGTCACGTAAGAGTGCCTGAAATGAAGTTACTGGCTTTGTGAGAATGGAAACTGAGGCAGGGACTACATGCAGTGTCACGCTAACTCAGCAGGGGGCACTACAGGACAGGCACACCCTACAGCATAAGGCAACACTGTCTCCTAGAAAGAAAGCTGAATGAACCCAGACTTGAGACTGAGTCGGATCACGGCAGCAGCCAGTCACATTGCACATACCTGCACAGCGGCTGATATGCACAGCTCTTTTCAGTTGAAAATGAAGGAGAAAAAGTCTGTGACTGCATATCCTCAAGCTACAAATGATGATGATGAATTTGCTCTGGAAAATTCCTGTATCAGATAGTCTTAAATTATTCTAAATTGAGGCCAAACAAACGTAATCATTAATGGGTGTGTTTTCAAACGATTTCCTCTTGGAGAGTGAAGAGGAAATGAAGGGAAGAGGGGCAATTTTCTCATCTATCTTGGTTTTAAATCCAGCCCCTTGCAGCAGCAGTAAAGACAAAATCAGCAAATAAAATGGGACTGAGAAGCTTGAGATCAATTCTTCAAGGAAATTAGTACACTATTATTTTTCACCAACTGCCCCAAAATGACATTCAGAACACTTAAGATTATGATGTTTGATTTATTATCCAATGATGAGGCTGGGAAACCTTAGCTATTAAGAATTTCAATCAGGTGTTTCAAATTTAATTGACTAACATTAAGTGGATTCTCTGTGTGTGCAAATATGCATTCACACAAAAATTTTCACTGAACCACACTGGATGTCTTCAGTATAATCCTATTGTGCTTAGATATATAATAGTTAAAATGTGATTTATGGTGGAAAATGCATTTAATTCAGATCTGTATTTTGCTCAGGGTTCTGTATATTTAACTCCCAGGGAATATAACTTAAATATTCATTTCTATAATAATAGATGCAGAAATTTTATATTCATCAAAATGCAAAGTGGAAAAAGACAGGGGAAGAGCCTCTAGTTGTTAGTAATCCTGTTTATTTTCTCATCAATCCCTTCTTTCTTAATCAGTTTTCACACCCGTTTAGCTTTGCATTAGAATAGAATTTAGCTTTACAATAGCATCTGTCATGCTAGAAGTGTCCCAAAGCATTAACAATAAGCTAGAAAGTGGTATTGCAGTGATTCTGTTGCTAAATGTAATGGCCATTGTGCATTTGCCAATGAAGACAAGGCAATTGCGGAGAAGGTAAATGAATCCTTTTAATCAGTCTTCACTGCAGAGGATGGGGGGGGAGGAGATTCCCAAACCTGAGCCATTTGTTGTAGGTGACAAATCTGTGTCAGCTTGAGGTGTTAGTAGAGGTGGTTTTGGAACAAACTGATAAATTAAACAGCAATAAGTCACCAGGACCAGATGGGATTCACCCAAACATTCTGAAGGAACTCAGACGTGAAATTGCAGAACTGCTAACTGTGCTGTATGTAATCTATCGCTTAAATCACCTCTGTACCAGATGACTGGAGGATACCTAATGTAACACTGATTTAAGGAAAAAAAAGCCTCCAGGAGTGATCCTGGCAATTACAGGTCGGCAAGCCTAACTTCAGAACCAGGCCAATTGGTTGAAACTATAGTAAAGAACAGAATTCTCAGAAACATAGATAATATATTAGGGAAAAGTCAACATGGCTTTTGTAAGGGGAAAACATGCCTCACTCATGTAGTGGAATTGTTTAATGGGGTCAATAAAGCATGAGGACAAGGGTGGTCCAGTCGATATAGTGCACTTAGACATTCAGAAAGCCCTTGGCGAGATCCCTCACCAAAGTCTCTTAAGCAAACTAAGCAGAAATGGGACAAGAGGGAAAGTTCTCTCATCAGTAACTGGTTAAAAATAGGAAACAAAGGGTCGGAATAAATGGTCAGTTTTCACAATCGAAAGTGGTAAATAGCGGGGTCCCCCAGGGATCTGTACTGGGACCAGTGCCGTTCAACATATTCAAAAGTGACCTGGAAAAGGAGGTGACTAATTTTGCAGATGATACAAAATTACTCAAGATAGTTAAGTCCACAGCTGACTGAAGAGTTACAAAAGGATCTCATTAAACTGGATGCCTGGGCAACAAAATGGCAGATGAAATTCAGTGTTGATAAGTGGAAAGTAATGCACATTGGAAAAAATAATCCCAACTATACATACCAAATGGGATCAAAATGAGCTCTTACCACTCAAGAGAGATATCTTGGAGTTATCAGGACTAGTTCTCTGAAAACATCCAGTCAATGAGCAGCAGCAGTCAAAAAAGCTAACAACGTTAGGAACCATTAGGAAAGGGATAGGTAATAAAACAGAAAATATCATAGTGCCACTATATAAATCCATTGTACACCCACACCTTGAATACTGAGTGCATTTCTGGTCATCTCATCTCAAAAACAAATATAATAGAATTGGAAAAGGTACAGAGAAGGCCAACAAAAATGATTAGGGGGATGAAACAGCTTCTCTATGAGGATTGATGAAAGAGTGGGACTGTTGAATTTAGAAAAGAGATGACTAAGGGGGGATATGATAGCGGTCTATAAAATCATGAATAGGATGGAGACAATGAATAGAGAAGTGTTATTGACCACTTCACACAATGCAAGAACCAAGAATCACCCAATGAAATTAATAAGCAGCAGGTTTAAAACAAATGTAAGGAATTACTTCTTCACACAATGCACAGTCAGCCTGTGGAACTTGTTGCCATGGGATGTTGTAAAGGCCAAAAGTGGGTTCAAAAGAGAATTAGATAAGGTCCTGGGAGGATAGGTCCAGCAGTGGCTATTAACCAAGATGGTCAGGGGGACACAACCCCATCCTTCAGTTGTGTCTAAACCTCTGATTGCCAGAAGCTAGGACTGGACCACAGGGAATGGATCCCTTGATAATTGCCCTGTTCTGTTCATTCCCTCTGAAGCATCTGGCCACTGTTGAAAGACAGGATACTGGGCTAGATGGACCATTGGTCTGACCCAATATGGCCATTCTTATGTTAATAGTTGTCATCTAGTCATGATCATTAGAATCAGGCCCTGACTCTAAGTAGTCCCATTTAGCTCAATAGGACTAATCATCTGTTTAATGTTAATCATCTGCAGAAGTCTTTGCAGGATGACGTCTGAGGTCCAGAACTTCAAAGCTATTTAGGCACTTAACTCCCAATGAGAGTTAGACACCTGAATCCCTTTGAGGAGTTGGACCGGGCTGTTTCTACTGGGAAGGGCAAGGTTGATTCTTTTAAAAAAAAAAAAACAGTGACAGGATCTTGACCACATGGAAACCCCTAGAGGCAGAACTGTTTATAGCTCCTGCTTTTTAAAAATTTTTATTTCTTTTGACTAAGGCACCTATGGTGGTTTAAATGTGTAAATTGCTGCTGTGTAAGTATTTGCTATTGAAATTTAACAAACTCTAAAAACCCAAACTCCTATTTCAGCTGTGCAGGTAATACCTCAGCATATTAAAATGGAAAGAGTTCTACAAATCCAATCTCTTTCCCCCTTTTTGCACTGTTTTGTGTGTGTATGTTTGCTTACAAAACCTGTGTGTCTTGGATTTGTCTTCCTTGGGGATAACAGTCATATCCCAGAGCCAGCCCCCTCAGCGTTGCCAGGATTGTCCTGGAGTCTCCAGGCATTAAAGATTACTCTTTAATTAAGGGTTGTGTCATGTGATGAAACTTCCAAGAATACCTCCAACCAAAACTGGCAACCCTAGGGGCGAAACAGTCACAGAGGGAAGAAGGCCCAAGGAGTTGCAGCAGCAAGGAGACTAGCTGGGGAGAGGGGAAGGCTGGAGGGAACATGGCTGGTCCCTGGATACAGGGTGGTGTTATGGAGAAGCTATAGCTGCCCTGTGTTGTGTTATTCTCTGGCTAGTTTGCAGCAAGTACCCAAAACAATGTGATCTTCCAGGGACTTGCTTTGCTCCCCTTCCCCATTTAGCTGTTGCCTTTGGTCTTGTCTCTGTGCACTCCAGTGCCCAACCCTTGCCCTGAAGCCCCCCCGCCCCCCTAGCCCCCCAACCCATCCCCTAAAGCCCCTATCCCCCTCTAGCCCCCCAACCCTTCCCCTAAAGCCCCCAGCCCCCAACTCTTCCCCTGAAGCCCCCAGCCCCCTCTAGCCCCCCAACCCTTCCCCTGAAGCCCCCAGCCCCCTCAACCCCCAACCCTTGCCCTGAAGCCCCCAGCTCCCTCTAACCCCCCAACCCTTCCCCTAAAGCCCCCAGCCCCCTCAACCCCCAACCCTTCCCCTAAAGCCCCCAGCCCCCTCTAGCCCCCCAACCCTTCCCCTCTAGCCCCCAGCCCCTCCGCACCGCACCCCGGGACCCTGCCCCAGAGCCCCCCAGCACCACCGCCCGGGCAGGTGATCGCTGCAGCCGGGCTCGGACGCGGGTCTCCCCAGTGGGACGGGTTGAAAATTACCCCTGAAAACCCCCGCCCCGGGCCCCTCCTGCCCCCGGGCCGGGCGCTGCCCCTTTAACGCCGCCCCCAGCCCGGCCGACGCGGCGGGCGGCCCCGCGCTGATGGCGGCGCAGGGAGCCGGGCGGAGGCGCTGAGCGGCGCGGCCCAGCTGAGGAGCAGGGATGGCCGGGGGGCCGCAGCCGGGAGCCCCCTCGCCGCGGCTGCCCAGGCTGGGGCTGGCCCTGGCCCTGCTGGCCGCCCTGGCCGCGGTGAAATACTATCGGGCCGCCGAGGCGGCCCGGCGGCAGGTACCGGAGCGGGGGCGGCGAAGTGGGGGGCGCGGGGGTTAGTGCTGGGGGGGCCTGGGGTGCGAAGGGGAGGGGCTGTCGGGGTCGGGTTGAGGGGGATGGGGGCTGGGGTTGTAGGGGCCGGTTAGGGGTGGACCGGACGCTTCGGGGGAAGGGCTGGGGGGCTGGGGGCTTTAGGGGTGCGAAGGGGAGGGGCTGTAGGGGTCGGGTTCAGGGGCTGGGGGCTTTAGGGGAAGGGCTGGGGGGCTAGAGGGGGATGGAGGCTTTAGGGGAAGGGTTGGGGGGCTAGAGGCTTTAAGGAAAGGGCTGGGGGGCTAGAGGGGGCTGGCGGCTTTAGGGGTGCGAAGGGGAGGGGCTGTAGGGGTCGGGTTGGGGGTGTCTTTGGTGGAAGGGTTGGGGGGCTGGGGTTGTAGGGGCCGGTTAGAGGTGGACCGGATGCTTCGGGGGAAGGGCTGAGGGGCTAGCGGGGGATGGAGGCTTTGGGGGAAGGGTTGGGGGGCTGGAGCGATGCTGAGTGATTGTGCTGGGGGCTTAGGGGAGACTTTGGATTTTGCTGGAGGGCTCTGATTTGCAGGGGTGTGGGGGGCTTTGGGGTATGGGGAAGGCTGGGGGTGGAAAGGAGCTCTGGGGAGGTGCTGCTATGGGGCTCCGACTACAGGCAGGAGACCTGCCAACCTGGGCACTCCTAGGATTTTCTCTTTTCCTTCCTTCTTGTCCTTTGCTGACTTGTTTCCGCGTTGTGCATCTAAACATGTATTTTTATTTTTATTTATCAAAGTACTGTGGTCAGATCCTAGCCCCTTTTCCTGAGGAGACCTGCACTATCTTGTTGTTTAGTGTGAAATTCCACTTCTCTCTGAACTGTAAAGTGACCCCCTCTTTCCCCAGCCAGGACATTTCCCAATCCAGATCTTCTCAGTGCCCCAAATCCCAACCTAGCTTATCCGTGGGGGGGACCTTATGAAATAAAACCAGCACAGGTTCACACGGGGGCACCTACTTCAGCAGCGAACTGGGATTTGTGTTGAGGAGAGAAATAGAAGCACTTGGTAGTGGGTTGTCAATAATACTGGACAAACATCCTATATCTTGTTATTTATATGTATTCTTGTAGTGCTTGGGAGCCCCAGTGTTGCACCAGGACCCCATGTTGCTAGGTGCTGTACAAACACACAACAAAAAGATAGTGCGTGTCCCCAAAAGCTTACCATCTAAGGCCATGTGTGCAGTGAGGGTGCTACAGTAGCATTGCTGTGGTACCGTAGCTTGGGTGCTGTAAGCCCATGGTGTAGGCACAAACTACAGGGAGAGAAGGGGGTTTTCCATCGCCGTAGTGACTTCACTTCCCCGAGCGATGGTAGTTTGGCCGATGGAAATAGGCTTCTGTCGACTTAGTTGCATCTGCACCAGACATTAGGTTGACAAAGCTACGGTGCTCAGGGGCATGGATTTTTCATGGCGACCTAAGTTTTAAGTGCAGACCAGGCCTAAGTCTTAAGACGTGAAATAAGTGCAGAAGTACAAGGAAACAGTGAGACCATATTGGTCAGCACGACAGGCTGTGGTTTTCATCACACCAGTAGCCTAATCGTGGTCAAGTTTTTGTAGGTTTCATGGCAGAGGAGAGTTTCGAGGAGAGATTTGAAGTTTAATGAGTTAGTTTTGCCATTGTTTACTGGGAACTGCTGCCGAGCATGAGGGTCAGGATTGGAGAAAGCACAAAGGTGCTTGTTTGGAAGTTTAACAAGGTGAAGATGTAATGTCCAGTGACGGTTCTGGTGGCAGGGTGGACTGAGTGTAGGCTGGCAGGCAGGAACTTATTCGTTATAATCCCATCTTGGACATTGCCCCTTTAGTTCTCTGTACCTTAGTTTCCCCATCTGTAAAATGGGGATAATTTACTGTGCTTACCTCATTGGGGTGCGTGGTCAAGGATTGATTTAGAATTTAGATAAAGTTTGTAAAGCGTGATGTAAGTGGCATTGTAGCCGAAGATGACAGGTTCTTAGCATCTTAGACCCTGATCTCACAAACTGACCCAGGCAGGCAACCTCAAGTACCCAGCTAGCTTGTAACATGATGGGGCCTCATGGTAGTAAACTCTTTGGGGGAAGGAATATGTCTGGCTCTGTAAAATGCAGAATAAATTATGGACTAAGGCACTGATCCATTGAAGTGGTGGGACTGCTTACATGAGTACAGCTAACCATGTATGTTGGTTGAAACAGGCCCGAAGCTCATAAATTAGCAACAGGATGTATATGTGTAGATGTACGTATAAACCTGTGTGTATTTCTAGTTTAAAACCTCAGAGTTGAAATCAGTTGCTATTGTGCTTGTCAGACCCTGAGTTCAGGATTCTCCTCCCGCTGCAGGAGTTGGGAACCCTGCAGACTGTATAAGGACACAGTTCCCTTCTTAATTATGGGCATTCATGCTGAAAACCATTGCAAGAGAAGCAAAGGCACACGTTTACTTTATGCCTGACCTTGGTTCCTGTTAGCTCAAAAGATTTTAACCCAACTTTAAAGTGACCTATAAAGGAAAAATGAGCTTTTGGGCCCTCTTGCTGTTTTGTTCTGTATAAAGAAGATCTGAATTTCTTTTAAACTTTTTTTTTTTTAACACTAGAAATTCAGGTCTTGTCTGCCCTGAGGCTGTATGGTTATTGTTGAACTTGTGAAATGACATTGCAAGAGTGCAAGTTGTGCAACAGAGAAAGAAATAGTGTTTTTTATCAGACTGATTACACCATTTTTGTTTTAATAACTATGTAACTCAAATGACTAACATGAACCCTGGAGCAAGGACATCTTTGCTAAAGATTCTACTCCCCCTGAATTCTCATTTAAGGTGGGAAAGCCTCAAACGTACATCTAGGAAGACTTCTAGCAAAGACCAAACTGCAAATTCCTGATATTTCAATGATAAAACACCCAACAGTAAACTTTTAAAAATCCTTTTTGGCCTCTATTATGTATCACAAAGAAGCAAAAAGGGTACAAGCCCATTTTATAAAAACATTCTTTGAAAGTGACTGTAAATGGCAAATATGTCTGTCCTTTATTGCTGCTGTAGGAGATACATAGAGGGTCTGAGAGGATTTCAGTTGATAAACCTCTTTTCTGACTGTTTTACACAAGAAATATCCGGTCTCGTCTATTCTGCTCTTGCAAAGGATTCAGTGGATGACAGGCAAACAGGTTGGATTGGGAACTGTAGGAGAAAACATTGAAATCTGAACAGCTGAGAGTGTTTTTCTATTCAGACTTTTTAAAACTTTTTGTCCATTTCCTTTGTTAGCACCTGTCTAATTCAAAGGTCTAACAAAACACTTGGGGGAATAAATCTTTGAAGACTCCCCTCCCTTCCACTATTACATTTGAGGGCTGAGAAAGCTCCTACTCTTTGCCCCGGCAGCAAAAACAGGGAAGGCAAAACTTTTATTATTCCTGATATTTCCAAGGTTAAACAAAATAAATCTTAGGTGCCTTTTTTGGCTTGCTTTAACATGTGTGCTATGAAAAAGCAAAAAGGCACGAATCCAATTTCTCTTTCTCTTTGTCCTTCTTCACCATCTCTCAGAATTCAGGACTGATTTGTGCTGTACAGGAAGCCTCACTTCCATGTTCTGGATCATTATCTTCTATAGGGCAGAAGCCCCGGGGTTTCCCTTTCAGTAGGACCATTTTGAGGAGCTGGTGATGAACAGCACTGAGCTGGCGCGTCCGTGCTGGGTATATATAAATCAAGAGTTCTGATGGAACGAGGCTGTGTGTGGAACTGATGTACTGTTGGAGTATTGCCTGGAAAAGTGCCTATCAATCTCATTTACTAGCTGTACTAGATGAGCAGCTAGTTTAAGTCACCTCGCAGAGGGGAGTGTGTGATGGGTTGGGTCACGGAGACCCCCTTGGGACTGCCACCTGATGGGCTGAGATTACCTCTGAGCCCGTTTTCCCTGTCAGCTTGGGACTTCAGTACCCTGTCTTGTTGAGCCAGACACGCAAGCCTGCTATAACACAGACCCAGGTCTGAACCACGTCCCCCAAAAGCTGCAAACTTAACTGAAAACAGCTTAGAAAATGCCCCTGTCTCTAGCACCCAGATACCCAGCTCCCAATGGGATCCAAACCCCAAATAAATCCTTTTTACTCTGTATAAAGCTTATACAGGGTAAACTCCTAAATTGTCCACCCTCTATAACACTGATAGAGAGAGATGCACAGCTGTTTGCTCCCCCAGGTATTAATTTCTTACTCTGGGTTAATTAATAAGCAAAAGTGATTTTATTAAATATAAAAAGTAGGATTTAAGTGGTTCCAAGTAATAACAGACAGAACAAACAACTTCAGGTTTAGCAGGCCAATGCTCAAACCACTGAGCTATCCCTCCTTACCAAGCAAAATAAAACAAAAACACACAAGTCTAAGCCTAATACAGTAAGAAACTGATTACAGATGAAACCTCACCCTCAGAGATGTTCCAATAAGCTTCTTTCGCAGACTAGACTCCTTTCTCGTCTGGGCCCAATCCTTTCCCCTGGTACAGTCCTTGTTCCAGCTCAGGTGGGTAGCTAGGGGATTTCTCATGACTGCAGCCCCCTTTTTTCTGTTCCACCCCCTTATATACCTTTGGCACAAGGTGGTAATCTTTTGTCTCTTTGGGTCCCCGCCCCTCCTAAATGGAAAAGCACCAGGTTTAAGATGGATTCCAGTACCAAGTGACACGGTCACATGTCCTGTGAGACCCCAAGCCTTCATTCTTCCCGGCCTGACTCGCAGAAAGACTTGCAAGTAAACAGAGCCATCTACAGTCAATTGTTCTAGTTGATGGGAGCCATCAAGATTCTAAACCACCATTAATGGCCCACACTTTGCATAACTACAATAGGACCTCAGAGTTATATTTTATATTCCTAGTTTCAGATACAAGAATGATACATTCATACAAATAGGATGAACACACTCAGTAGATTATAAGCTTTGTAATGATACTTTACAAGAGACCTTTGGCGTGAAGCATATTCCAGTTACATTATATTCACACTCAGTAGCATATTTTCATAAAATCATATGGAGTGCAATGTGCCAGAGTGATTGTTGGAGCTGAGGTTTGACGGGTTCGAGTCCTGATGGCACACGTACCGGACAGAGTTGGCCAGGAGTGAGGATGCGCGTTTACAGTTCTAGGAATTAGTACTTAATTTTCTAGGAAAAAACCCTGCTGCCCAGAAATGTCCCACTGCTTGTCCCATGTGAAAGATGTCTGAGATACTGATCGGACATGCAAATTGGCTCTTATCTCTCGCTCAAGAGTAATTCATTCTGGAATCTTGCAGCACCAGTGAGCATAACATCAAACATCTATATTGAGTTCTCTACATCACAGCTGCTGTCCTTGATGCTGTCTGGGACAGCATTTCATCCATATGCATGGGATGTAACTGGTGCCTTTCCTGTTTGAGGGGGCACTGGAGGCCACAGATAGAGGTTGCCCAGGTCTGTGCTGTCTGCTCACTGTAATGTTGGAAGCCAGAGTCTAATCTTACACTGAAAGGCTTGTCAGCTGTCGCTCTCTGAGTGGAATCTCTCGGGGTTCAGATCATGGAATTCTTGACCTGCTAAACTGGGAAAAAATAAAAAAAGGACCAGAGACTGGAGAGGGGCCATCAGACAGATGATTGCAGACAACTGGGGAAAAGACAAAGAAATGACCCTCTGTGACCATCTCTGGAGCTCTGCATGTGCTCAGGATGGTGTGATCTGTGGAGGGAAGTCCCTGTATGATGCTGTTTACTTTTCTAAACTGTTCTGCCTCCTGTTCCTTTGTTAGGTGCTCCCTGCCAGACTGGCTCTTGAGGGGGATGCAGAAGAAAATTGTAAAGCAGTGGAATGGGCATTATAAAGCCTATGCCTTTGGATTAGGGGAGTGACCTCAGCACCTGGGCAATTCCCATTCCAGTAAGGCTAGAATAACGATATCCTTGGTAAACATGTGCGTGGAGAGCAATAGGTAGGTGCAGGGCATTTTACACACACACAGTAGAGGAATGGTCCCTGTCCAAAGGAGCTTGGGGTGTCTTAGGGGATTGATCCGGTGCTGGAAATAATTAGGTTTCAGAGTAGCAGCCGTGTTAGTCTGTATCCGCAAAAAGAACGGGAGTACTTGTGGCACCTTAGAGACTAACACATTTATTTGAGCTTAAGCCCACAAAAGCTTATGCTCAAATAAATTTGTTAGTCTCTAAGGTGCCACAAGTCCTCCTGTTCTTTTTTTGGAAATAATTAGCTCTCTCATTTCCCTTCCTTCCATAGCATAGGTGTTGCCCGCCCTCTTTTCCAGGTATTGGGTTCTCACCTTGCGTCAAACGGACCTTCCTCCCGCCCCTCCGCAGTTCATGTTCCAAGAGCTTCTCTGCTTGCCTTTGTTTTTTCTTTGCCTTCTTGGCCCAGGAACTGCCCTATAAGGCTCCAAGTGCTTCTCTTACTCTAACTGACAGGAGCTGAGCCTTCCAGGCTGCATTAAATGGTGTTTCAGGCTGGCCTGCAACAGATGGTACCTAGACTGGTTCAGGAGCTTTGGGGATGTTAATGGTGCTGCAGGCATCGGAGAACACACACAGCTAAGCAGCAAAATGAGGAATAGTCTCTTGCTCCTATAGGCTTTGCACGGGGTGGACGGGGGGACGGGAAATTGTCTTCCCTGAGGAATATGCCTTGTCTGACTGCCCACCCCTCCTTTCCTTCACTCTGTCTCATTTCCTTCTCCCGCAGTAGAGCAGCTCTCTCCTTCCATCTGTGTATTGTCTCTTCCCTCGGCTGTGCGTGCTGCAGAGTGGAACTGTCTGGGTCTGTTCCAAGCGACAACTGCGTTTCTGTAGCACCTGTAGTGAATGAAGCCATGCGGGCTGCCCCCTGTGAGATCTGAAAGGCTTAGTGTCTGATGGGGGGAAACTGAGGCCCAGAGTGGCTGTGATTGCCCACTCCCCAAGGTTAAATAGTATTGATGGCAGAGTAGGAGTAGACCGCGTGAGTCCTGACTCCTGGATCAGTGGTAGAATCACGAGGCAACACTCCCCACCAGGAGCAGTGAGCTGGAAGTTCTTGTCTAATCCCAAATTGTTTGTGATCTAGGATGTGAATGTGGTTCTCGCTAGAGCTGGTCTCTGTGGCAAGCAATGTCGGTGGATATTGCTCAGAATGTAAATAATGTTGATTTGGCCGTGTTCACTTCCTTTAAACATGGGAGGGCCCAGTTAGCGCTCTTCCTCCTTGTGAAAAGTGAATCTTTAGAGCAAATCCTCAAGTAATCATTGGCGAAGTTTGAATAGTCTATATTTGACTGTCTTCATTCACACCACGTTGGCTAGTTACCTAAGTCCCCTTGTCAGGACGCTATAAAATTGCCCTGTAGTGAATGCTCACTAGCAGCACAGAGCCTTCTGCTAATATCAGCAGTTGGCAACATTCTTGCAGGCCCAGAATTACTGGCTGCTGAAGTTGACCAATTTCTTGGACAAAGACTCACTGAGAGAGAAGACCAAACAGAACAAGCGATTTGTTGTCAATTATTTGTTGTTCATCCAGATTTAGTTTTAATACATGAATGGAAACTGTTCCTGGACCCGTCGCTATTGTTGATAGTGTAGGGTCCTGCCAACATGCGTTACTCTTTTTATTTGATGGCTTTGTTTGCAGTTGTAAAGGATGCGTAATAACTCAAGAGCTGATGGGGCCTAGTTGAACTAGTAAAACAGCTCCAATTAAGACCTACCTGCCTTTCTTCTTCCCAAACCAGGAGATGGCCTTGAAGTCTCTGGGGAACGAGGGGCTTTTTCTCTTCTCCTCTCTGGACACTAACAATGATCTGTACATTAGCCCTGAGGAGTTCAAGCCAATAGCAGAGAAATTAACAGGTAGGTATTCACCTTGCAAGGTCAGTTGTGCAACAAAGGAAAGGAAAGCTGAAGATCTCAGCACTGCATGTGCACAATAGCTAATTATCTTTTTTTTGTGCTGGTCTAGGGCTGATTTACACAGCGAGAGGCTGCAAAGCTTTAAGTGTTTTTGGAAAGGCTTAAGCACCAGACACCACTTTCACAAAGTGCACTTTTTATAAGACTGAAGCTCCCATTGTAGGACTAGTAAAGTACATAAGTTACTTTGTACGGGGCTTAAAGGGGATTTGGAATGGATGAATACAACGGATATAGCTCACCACTGGCTAGACCAGAGCTATTCCATTCATATTTTCCTCTGGCTTCAGAAGTCTCTGTCATACAGTATCAACACGTAGCAAATGTTTCTCAGCTATGCCAAAAGGCATGAAACCCTGTGATGTCAACGTAGCATGCAGGGGGGATTGAACTGCAACCGAAATACCAGGAATACTTTCTCATAATGTAATAAGCAGCTAGAGTGTGTATCTGCCCCCTGCTGGATGCATCAAGAACCGTTCAACCATGTGTCATAAACTTTATACTGCTATCAATTAAGGGGAGAGTCTCCTTTAACTTAAGTAGCAGGGACTTGTGCCCTTGAAGCAGGTGGGTCTGAGTTTTGTTGCTAAGAGCTGTAACATAGTGTAGCATAGTGACAGCTGTGAGGTTCCAAGTACCTGCTCATTAGACTATTATAAATATATAATCATTTCCCTTGGTGTTAAATTATTGTTCTGTTTAGGTGTGACTCCTGTCTTCGAATTTGAAGAGGAAGAGACACCGGATCCCAGTGGGGAGACGCTATCAATTGTTGCTAAATTCCAGCCTCTGCTCATGGAAACAATGACAAAGAGCAAAGATGGTTTCCTAGGAGTAAGTATCATACACCATGTATATGAATAGAAAACCCAAATTCCCAGCATAGTGCTTGTTTTGTCGGTTGTTCCTTCTGTGAGCAGAGATCAGACTGAGCCAGTGTGCATTGGTGCATTATTTTGGCATTTTTGTGGTGGCATCATCAGTTTATGCAGCACTTACATGTATTTTTAAAAAAAAAGTTTATGCTTCCAGCTCTTAGGAACATGAAGAAAATCTTCTGTATGTGACCTGGTGCAGTGTTGTCTACTGGAATTTGTGAAACAATAGCTTTGAGAAGCATAAACTACCCCCATTTCTCAATGGGGTGTAAACTCTGGAGTGTAACAGTGCTCACCTTATATGTAACCATTTCCATGGCATTTGTTGCCATGGTATCTGACTACTTGCATTATCAATTTATTTCACTGCTGGTCATTTTTAGCAGAAACTTCTAGCTATTGGGGGATTTTAGGTGGTGCTTGGGATTGTGGGTGGAGTTTAAAGGGAGTACCACTTTCTCTTACCCCAAAATCTGACCTCTGTGCAACGGTTCATATCCATCTGCCTCCTATAGAACAAAACTCTTCAAATGTTATTACATCTCATTGGCTGGTTCTGACATGTTTCTCTTTGTAGATTTCTCATATTGCTCTGTCTGGCCTACGGAATTGGACAACCCCAGCAGCCCCTATGAGCATGATGTTTGCCAGGCAGTTCAAAGCCTTTCTTCCCCCAAAGAATAAGCGAGAACTCGGCGATCCCTGGTGGATAATCCCAAGCGAATTAAACATCTTCACTGGCTACCTTTCCAACAACCGGTTTTACCCTCCGGCTCCCAAGGGCAAAGAAGTAAGAGCACCACTTAATATGAACCATGATCTCTCTCGGGTGGGAGGATATTGCTTCTAACAGATGCTTCCATAGTGTTAATTTTGCAATTTTCACATCTTAATGAGCAGCATGTAGCCGATATCACCTTGGGCTATCCTCTCCTCATATCTCACAAACTAAGCAAGGTCATGTCGGTGCTTGGATGGGAAACCTCCAAAGAAAATGTGCATGCTACAGGGAGTGGTGGTGGTGAATCAGCAAAGCCTTGTTGAGGCGGTTCAGCAGCTCTTGGAGGGAACCCTAGGGTAGACAGTTCTCTAGCTTCAGCAGCTGTTTCCAGCGCCATATCAGTTGCATTTGTTTCTATACTAGGGTTCCCTATAGCCGATATTAGTGGAGTTGAGTCTCAGGCCAGGTCTACACTAGAAACTTTTGCTAGTATGGTTGTTGTTAGGGGCGCAGGGTTTTTATGACATTTCTTTACAAGTAAAAGGCCTAGTGGAGACACAAATTATACAAGCAAGAGTGCTTTTGTCAGTGTAGCTTATTTTGACTGGGGACACAGTATATATCTACACAGGGGAGGTTTAGCCAGCACCACAGAGGAGAAGGAAGCAGCAGCAAATGACAGAGAGGAATGGAGGAGGCTAGTTTCCACATGCGTTCCAATGTTGGCCTGGGTAGGATGTAATATATAGTGTAGACTGGGCCTTACCAACTCTCTGTACAAAAATTCCCTAGTGTCGATGAGGCTGTAGTTTGTCACTTCTCTGTAAATGGATGTCCCAGTGCAGTGTTAAGGGAGCCATCTTTCAGATGAGAGGTCAAACCAAGAATTTTGTTTGTGGTCTCAGAAGATCCGAGGCATTTATAACAATAGTATGGGGTATCCACAACAGCCAGACCAACTACACCTCTACCCCAATATAACGTTGTCCTTGGGAGCCAAAAAAACTTACCGCGTTATAGGTGAAACCGCGTTATATCGAACTTGCTTTGATCCACCAGAGTGCGCAGCCCTGCCCCCCCAGAGCGCTGCTTTACCGTGTTATATTCGAATTCGTGTTATATCGGGGTAGAGGTGTACTAATCAATTTAAATAACAAAAATCCTCATTTAGTCTGACTTGGGTAAGATTTTCCACTCCCCGTCTAAAATAATTGTGTATAATGTGCTTTGTCAAACAGTGACCTCATGTTCCACCCCACAGTGGTCAGTGAAGTGATTCTTGTATATGGTCTATAAAATCAGTCTGTAAATGCTCTGCCCTCATGGGTGTTTGGTTAGGCTTTAATATTTCCATATTTAGTACACTCCAGTGGGTGGTATATGTGATCCCTTCAAATTGCAAACTACGTCAAAGTCTTGAACAAATATTGTTCAGTATAATGCCCAACAGGTAATCCGATCTGTTTGCAGTATTCAGCTGCCGTGCTCTGGAAATATTGGGTATATGGAAGACAATGGTTAGTACACTTCCAGACAGAGGATACATTTGCAAGGTGGTGGAAAACTATAAATTATAGAAGGGAGTCCAAAAAATGGAAGATGGGAGTTGTTAGCCAGATCCAAGTCACGTTAATTGTATTATCTTCCTGGCCTTGTAGGGGAGTAGATTTAGAAGTGTAGCTGAACTGAGGTCTGCATTAAAGGCCGTTGCTCTTATTATTTTTGCTACCTCTCCAATTCTTTCCATAGATCGTGATCCACAAACTCTTGAGCATGTTCCACCCTCGTCCATTTGTAAAAACTCGCTTTGCCCCTCAAGGAGCTGTGGCCTGCATCCAGGCAATCAGTGAGTTCTACTATATGGTAGCATTCAGGTAAGAGCTTCCCAAATGGGACTGGGAGGTGCAGGGTGTTAAAGATGGGGATTGGTGCTGTTTTAATTAGATCTGCATCTTTTTAAAGACCTAATCTCTCTCCCCCCCTCCCCCATTCAAAATAGAATCAAAGCAACTACTATAATGTGGAGGTTGGGACTTTCACAATTAGTCTGTTAATTATGTTCAATCTGTTTTGGGGGTGGAAGAAACCTACGAAAGGGGCTGTCAAGCAAAGGGGTCATGACATTGGCCCAGGCAGCCAGGAGCCCCTGGGGTTTGATAAGACAGCATGAGATCTGGGGAATGGGAGGGGGCAAATATGGACATGTCCAGCTGGCAGCAGCCCCATGATTTCCCCATCCTCCAGGGAACATAACCCAGGAACAGCATGTGAGCATGTTACTTAACTGTGATTATGCTCCCTAACAACATATGTAACTGACTGAGAGCTGCTAAGCAGCTTGCAGAGGAGAAGGGTGTGTCCTCCAGGAAGCAGCTTGGAATGTGTTACTTCCCTTACAGCTCCATCCATGGAGCCAACGCTCCTGTTTTTGTCTGAACTGACTGGGTGAGAGACACTATTGCCCTGTAAGTAAGTCCCCAGTTCCAGGGCTAAGCAAACATCCTCTATTTGGTGATGTACAGAATTGAAAGGGGAGGATCTAACCGTTTTAGTCAACGGATGGAACAGTTCTCTAAAGCCAATGGTCCCTACAAGAGTGACTCCTCACACTGCTCTGGTTCATCTTGCAGACAGTTCTAGTCTAGTCTGTTCTGTTCAGGTTCTTGTATGGCCGTTATCATATGGGGAAATGAAAGCACAAGGAAGTTAAATGCCGTTATCACCACAGTATCTGAGTCAATGGCACCGGAACCAGGAGGGCCAGAGGGCCATACCCTCCCCCTTTTTAACATGGGTGTAGTTTGGGGGGGGGGAGGGGGCTGGGGGCGGTATTGCCCCTCCCCCCCAACTTCTACAAAGGTTCCGGCACCCTTGATCTGAGTGCCTCCAGAAGCACATGAAAAGCATCTGGCATGTATGACCCGTTCTCTCTCCTCCCTGGTTCTTGGTCTTTGTTAGGGCACCAAGGCTGATGATGATCTTCCTGTTTCAGGATCCATGCCGAGTTCCAGCTGAATGAACCTCCAGATTTCCCTTTCTGGTTTTCCCCTGGCCAGTTCACAGGCCACATCATCCTCTCCAAAGATTCCTCCCATGTTCGAGAGTTCAAGCTCTTTGTCCCTAACGAGAGGTATGGACGTCTCTTTTCAGTACACGCTGAGCAAAGTCCTGAGATTAATTGGAAACCAGAACGTGAGTGATGCTCGAGGGGCTGTGCGATTCTGTGTGTTGCAGATCTGGAGGATGTTCCTTGCACATACAGTGACATCTCCTGTCTGATGATATCAAAATGCATTGACTGTTTGAACCAAGATTTGCATCTCTTTGAGCCAGGTATCACTATCCCCATCCTGCATATGGGGAAATCAAAGCACAGGGAAGTTAAATGACTCCCCTAAACTCTCCCAGAAATCTGTGTTCGGGTACGAATTGGAACCCAGGAGTCCTAGGTCATTATCCCATGCGCTGATTACCAGGTAACAGTAGGGTTACCATATTTCCACAATCAAAAAAGAGGACACTGGGGGCGGGGGGGGAGCCCCGCCCCCATCCACTCCCTCCCACTTCCCACCCCCTGACTGCCCCCCTCAGAAACCCCAACCCCCCCTGCTCCTTGTCCCCTGACTGCCCCCTCCTGGGACCCCTGCCACTAACTGCCCCCTAGGACCCCACCCCCTATCTAAGCCTCCCCGCTCCTTGTCCCCTGATTGCCCTCTCCTGGGACACCTGCTCCTAACTGCCCTCCAGAACCCCACCCCCTACCTAAGCCTCCCTGTTCCTTGTCCCCTAACTGCCCCCTCCTGAGACCCCCCCCACCCTAACTGCCTCCCTAGGACCCTACCTGTACCCTGACTGCCCAAAACCTTATCCACACCCCCAGACAGACCCCCCCAACTGCCCCCCTAGGACCCTACGTGTACCCTGACTGCCCAAAACCTTATCCACACCCCCAGACAGACCTCCCCTCCCGAACTCCCGACCCATCCAACCCTGCTCTCTGTCTCTTGACTGCCCCCTCCAGAACCTCCCTGCCCCTTCTCTGACCCCCTGGCCCCCTTACCGTGCCACTCAGAGTGCTGCGGAGTGGCACGCTGGGCAGCAGGGGAGGGTGAGCAGGGGGAGGAGCTCCAGACTGCTGGAGGCCCGATGCGAACGCCCGGCCGGCGATCTGCGAATGCAGGGAGGGAGAGAGAGGAGGGGAGTGATTTCAAGCTGCAGGGGAGAGGAGGGGGAAGCGGAGGAGGGGCTCTGGCTGCCAGAGCCCCGTGCGAGTGGCAGGATCCGGCCGGCTGCCCTGTCAGCCGCGCGCTCTGCATGGGGGTGGGAAATCCGGACATTTACAAATTCCCCCCCGGACGCTATTTTTAACTCAAAAAAGCCGGACGTGTCCGGGAGAATCCGGACGAATGGTAACCCTAGGTAACAGTCTCTCCCCTCCACACAGTACATAAATTACCATGCGGTTAATGTTCTGTAGTCAGATTTCACTCTTGATCTCTTGGGACTGGGACCCAAGAGAGCTCGACTCTGTTCCTGGCTCTGTCACAGACTTGAAGTGACTTTGTGGGTTTTTTTGCCAAGTTCCTTGAACTTCTGTGCCTGTAAAAATAAGGAATTTCTCCAACCTGTGCCTGAGGCTTAATGAGCGTTTGTAAAGTGCTCGGAAAACTTTGGATGAAAGTTACTAAATGCATATTCTCCCCTTCGTTGCTTGTGCTATTGCAAACCCATATTCCCAAGGAATGCCTGGCTAGCTACCCTTGAAAGAGTTCCAGAGATGGCTTAGTTTGCAATTAGAGGTGAGGCTGCCGTTCTGACTATTGCGCATGCAGCAGGGCCATCGAAAGCCCCAGAAGTATCATGCAGTGCCTGGGTTATATTACACACCTCCGGGCGGTTTACATTTTGCAATAAGTCCCTTGTAAATAAAAGTGAAACAAGCTCCACTGTCGTCATCACTGAAACGGAGAGAACCCGTTATCGCGGTGGCAACACGTTTTTAGTAGAGCCACTGAGAACACGTAGCTTATCCAAGGATCTGATTTGTTGAACATGCTGTAATCCTTGGAACATCAGGGGAGGGGGAGAAAAACCCTGGTGATCTCCACGTGTGTCTTGGTGCACTGGAGTCTGGCGTAGTGTGACTCGCTTTGAAATATTCTTCACTTCATATTTCAAAGGCTAATGTATTGTGTGTGTATAGATTTACACGCTCTCATTATTTCTCTCTGGCAAGTGGCTGGAAGCATTTCAGGAGATAAAAGCTTACATTTTTCTCGGACCACGGTGGCTCGAATCGAAATTCTATATAGAGCATTACCCTGGTGACTTGATACTAATGGTTCTGGCAGCATGTTCATTATGGGAGCTCTTTGCTTGCAGAAAAAACTGTTCTACGGGAATGGAATTCCCAAATTCTCAGGGTTTGGGAGGAAGAGGGGATACAAACATTCCCCCCTCCCCACGCCCCAAAGTGTCTAAACACATTAAAGTTCATGCATGACTCTGACTCTCCTTTCATCATATTGGGCAGGCACTTAGGCCCTGATCCTTCAGTGGGCTCCAAGAGTGCTAGACCTATACAGAACCCCACTGACTTCAGCAGAGCTGCGCAGTGTCCCTTGCAGCACCTGGCCTTTAGTCCTGAATCCGGCCTAGGGATGTTGGATGTTTAGGGAGAAATGGCTCAAGTTTAGTTGAGTTATCAAGTGCAAAGCTCTTTCGTCTGCACAATTCTAAGAACGGCTGTTCCTGAACGTGCTGGATTCTCCTGTTAGGTCTCTCAACGTTGACATGGAATGGCTGTATGGGGCGAGCGAAAGCAGCAACATGGAAGTGGATATAGGTTACCTACCTCAGGTGTGTACTAACTGTCTCTCCTTTATGTGTGTGCAGCATCTTAGTTGGGATTCCTCGTGCTCCACCCCGGCAGTGTTACCTCTATCACCGTTGTTTTTCATGTGACTTCTTGTAAGCTTGGATGTGATCCTGGTGTTTCCAGTGTATATGTGGGGCACTGTGCGGAAATGCCACCCAGCGTTCCTAACTCATTATTTTTATCATGACGCTCACAATATTTAGTGTTTTTTCTTGAAGCCCGAGCTCCTGGAGTCATGTGATTACACAGGAATCTTGGCTTAAAAATTAAAGTTCTCTTGTGACCCACATGGCTGCAGAGGAACAACTTGGGAGCCTAAACCATCAAATGTCAAAACCCAGAGAGCAAATAGATTTTGTGGTATTTTGTTTTTTTTTTATTTGGCTTAAAATTATTTTTTTTTAAATCTAAAAACTGGGGATGTGGGGGGCTGATTCATGGTTTTTGGATGCCTGGGGTTGGCAATGCTGTTTTTTCTCTGAGACTAGATCTTTTTTCCCCCCCCATAATAATTAAAAATAGCCATGTTGTGACAGACACCCATAGTCCCAAGAAATATAACCCTGGCCTTGCCCGTAACACCTCAGCAGTGAAGCCTCCTGACAGCTGCCCCCATTGCACTCTCTTGTGGCAAGCTGCGGGCATGGAAAACTGCTTCCCAAGGATCCCGAACATCTGACTGCCTTAGAGCTGCCAGAGTGAAGCACCAAGCGGTTCCTGGAAACGTGACGGATCCTAGGGAATATTTGGATGTCAGGTGCCCCAGTGTGGAAAATCTCCACATAAAAACTTAGCTGCAGCTTAACAAGGTGAACATGTGTCTGATATCAGAGAGGTAGCTGTGTTAGTCTGGTGTATTTTCCATCCAGACCAGCACAAAGCCGTCACTGGAGGGGGAACGGGGAGTTCCGGAAAACCGTCCCACGCATGCACATACAGAACAGACTAAGTGGGGCTACAGTGAATACAAATCAAACGGACAATCTATCCTGTTTTCATTAAAATGACTCAGACACTTGTGTGTACATCTTTGTTCTGGGCATGGGCCTGCACTTTGTGGGTGGGAGCTACAAATGTAACTTCCTACGGACTAAACTCTCTGACTTTGTCGTGTAGATGGAATTAGAATCTTCAGGGCCGTCCATCCCTTCCGTGATTCATGACGAAAATGGCAACGTGATGGATAGCCGAGACCCTGTGGCGGAGCCAATTCAGTTTGTGTTTGAAGAGATAAACTGGCAGCGTGAAATAAGTTGGGAAGAGGCAGCCCAGAAACTGGAAGTTGCCATGTACCCATTTAAGAAGGTAAGAAAATAGCCCGCTCCATTGCTGCTTCAGCATTTTGTTTGGAGGGGGCACTCCACTGAGATGCTCCAATCATCTGGGAGAACTACCAGGGCTATGGGGTGAGGCCCTCTGCTGGTTTGATTTAGAAATAAGAAGTGACTATAGACGTATTAATATTCTACACCTGTAGCACCGGCCATCCAGGTGCATTGCCATTGGACTTGAATGAATCCAGCATCACAACACTTCAGTTGCAATTGGGACCCGGGGTGGGGAATGGTCACAGAGAAGCCTAGGGCCATGCAGGAAACCAGTGGTGGAGGCCGGTAGAGTCCTGATCTCACATGTTCCAGGCTTGCACTCAGTGTTGGCTCCCTCCTCATAACAGTAGCCACTGGTGCTATTTTGAGAGAAGCGAATAATGGTGGTTTTCTTTTTGCACCAGCCGAAAGCCGCAAAACTATCTTAGGGACTGAATTTTCCTTATCAGCAGGAAATACACAAAACACTTATGGCTCAGTGTCTTGCAGTGAAAAGTGAATCTATAACACAGGGTGACCAAAATGACTTCATGCTCCAGTGGCAGCTAGAGCGGATCGCTGCTCCCTGACCCTGATTCCTTGGCTGAGGGAAACGTAAGAGCAGCCATGGGAAAAGATGTCCTTTGGTGCAAATGTTTCCATAAGCTTTCCAAGAAGTTGTTAAAGTTCAGTGTGTGTGAATGATTGGAGCCATCTTTCTGCGGAGCGTCTCCGTGGCTAGTTATTGACATCTTTTCTGACCGTAATATCTTTTCTAACAAATATTCCTGGACATGTTTGGGTGCGTAGAGTGCACAGCTGTGTGCTAACACCTGCTCTGGGTGTGTAAATGCAGACAAATAACAGCCCATGCGCTTCGCTGATGCATCCATAGAGGCAGGCTGGAAATCGGTCCCTAGGTGAAACCATTGAACAGGGTTTATGAGAAAAAAGTACAAGATGGTTAAAAATTCCCTGAAGACTCAGGTATCCTAGGTAACCGTGCCAGTTAACCTTCCCAGTACTTGCCTTTCCATCGTCACTTTCATCTGGGGATCTCATAGCACTTTAAAAACAATTAATTGAACCTCATTCCATCCTCCTGGCACAGGAGGGAAGAGAGATCTCCTTTCATACACGTGAGAGTCATGGAGAGACCTTCAGCAAGTCAGGGGCAGAGCTGGGAACAGAACCCACGAGTCCTGGCTCCCGATCGCTTGTGATTTGGAACAGCTCCATTGCAGATTAAAGGGACAGTATAATCCAGTGGGAGGCAGGGGAGCACAGAGGCTTAATGTTAAGGCCAGAAGGGGAGCTGAGAGTACCACTGCTAGGGTTTAGGGGCGGTGTCTTTACTTGTATGTGTGCCTGATGTGGTGTGGCAGGCACAGCATCTCTAGACCCTGCCTCGCCCCATGGGCTGCTTTGGCATCGGCTTCTCCAACTGGCTCTCTGCTTGCAGGTTTCGTACCTTCCCTTTCCGCAGGCTTTTGACAGAGCGAAAGCTGAGAACAAACTGGTGCATTCCATCCTGCTGTGGGGCGCCTTGGACGACCAGTCCTGCTGAGGTGAGCTGCTGCCGACCTGTAGGGGACCCTGCAAGAGCGGCCAAGCCGCCTTCCCCTGCCAGCTGGAAAGGGAGGGCAAAGAAACGCTTCGTCCAGGCTTCCGCGAGGCCGTTGGGATCAGTGGGGAAACCAGCCGCAGGCGTCTCCTGTTACACTGCATTGGTAGCAAAGCCCCTGGAGTAGATGGGTTTGAACTAGAATCGCTGCCCTGAATTCTGGGAAAGGGCAGATCAGAACCCTGCAGCTGCAACCTATAATGGGCCCAAACCCAGCCCCCAAATTCAGATAACCTTCCCCGAGATGAAAGATTGGAGCTAGGTCTCAATCTGGTGGCTTAAGCCCATCTTTACTTCTAATAGATTTATACTGGGGTAGCCCACAGTGCTACAGCATGTTTCCCTCTTCTCCCGTGACACCTCTCTCCCCCCGCCCCTGCCCCACATCAACCTAATCAGGCAGCTGCAGCCTCTGGAGAATACAGCACGATTCTCCCCCTGCCTGGCACCTTGTATCATCTCGCATCTGTGCATCCAGGTTCTCCTTGTCTGGCACCCACTCTGCACAGGTGTAGATGAGAGCCCAAGCTGCAAGGCCAGGGAGAATCGAGCCCTGTACCTCTCAGAGTGCAATGAGCCATTCTGATCCAAATAGCCTGCTCTGCATGCCTGGGCCTCTAGCTTCCGCAGGCGGCGCGTCTGTGTTAAAGGCTGCAATGGTTAATTTACTCTTGGAGCACCCATTGCATAGGGGCTCACTTGCAGTGCAAACTTAAAACAGTAAATTACATAAAACAGCCTGTGATGGGTGTAACTAAACCCTCCTTTCCTGGCTCAGGGAGAAATAAAACTCTTCGGACCCTGTCGGGGGTGTCCCATTCAAGCTGCCACGGTGGCCCTCAATTGGCAAAGCATTAGCACCCCAAGTTACCACTGCAACAGTGCCCTGGTCTACACTGGGGGGTAGGAGGGTGTTGATCTAATGTGAATCTAATGTACGTGAATAATGTAGCTGAAGTCGACGTACTTAGATCGACTTACCGTGGTGTCTTCACCGCGGTGAGTCAACTGCTGCTGCTCCCCCGTCGACTCTGCCTGCACCTCTCGCGGTGCTGGAGTACAGGAGTTGACGGGAGAACGCTCGGGGGTTGATTTATCATGTCTAGACTAGACGGGATAAATCGATCCCTGCTGGATCGATTGCTGCCCACCAATCCGGCGGGTAGTGAAGACATACCCAGTGTGTGTCAGGCGACTTGGCAAACTAATCTCTCTTTCTCTCGTTCTATGCCAGGTTCGGGGCGAACTCTCCGGGAGACCGTCCTGGAAAGTTCGCCCATCCTTGCTCTGCTGAACGAGAGCTTCATCAGTAGCTGGTCACTGGTGAAGGAATTAGAAGAGCTACAGGTAAGCATCTCTGTAGCATCTGGCTTCCATGCGTGTAGTGCTGGTAAAAGGGACCAGCTTGACAGTCCTGGGGACTGAAGAATTTACAGAACGATGGTCCGATGGCAAAGGTGCTAGAGATCTCTGGGTTCAATTCCCTGCTCCTCCGCAGGCTCCCGCAAGTCACTCGGCCTCTGTGCCTCACTCAGCATCAGTAAAATGGGACTAATACCCCTCCCTATCCCAGAGGGGTATCAAAGATTGAGGGGCTCCCATGTCCTTAGACAGTGTTGCGTGGGCAGTACTGTGACCGCTCCCCCAGGCCGCAGGAGGGTATTGCACTGTTGTGGGCAGCTCTGCAGCTAAATGCCAATAGCGTCACCTAAGGATTTATGCAGTAGCCGAGAATGACGGGATAAATAGCTGACGGGTGACTGGATGGTCTGCGGAGCCTTTCATCGCTCTCAGTCCAGGTTAGGGGAGGCCATTGCATTGGAAGTCTGAGTCTTTGTCTGCTTCCCAGGAGGACAAGTGGTTGTGCAACGTGGACGCTAATTAGCTCCTGTGTTGGCTGCCCTGGATTGGCCTGGCTGGAGCCTGACCTCCTCCTGGGGGTCCCTACAGGTTGACTGGGGTGCTCTGGCAGGGGGCAGCATGGGGGAAGCTTGTGCCGATTCTCAAGCTGTGTCTGTAGAATAAAAGCAATGCACAGATGGAGGGAAACTAAGGAAAGAGTGTGGGAGTCTCCCTTTAAACAATTGCAGTGCCAGTGTTAATCACTAAACAGGGACCTTCATCTGTAGCTGGCCCTGCCCTGTGTAATTACTGTGGCCAAATCTCCGTGCACCCCCCACCACGGAGAGCTGTGACGTGTGCACCAACCTAAGTGCTCTGGCTTCTGCTGGCTTGTAGCAGACCCTTAGTAGATCATGAAGGGTGCCTGTTTCCTAGCTCGTTAATGTCCGTCTCATCTCGTGCTACGAGTCCAGATGTCAGTCAGTCACAGTGATCCAGACTCTGAGTATCCAGATCTCTGGCGAGCGGGCACTGGCAGGGGTGATACTGACTATACAGTGACGGGGTACGTTCTAGTGGGGTGTCCTGACTGAAAGAAGCAGTCGGGCAAATAAAACAGGATCCCTTTTTTATGTTACCATATTGAACAGCTGTTCGGTCTTGCATTTGCTGCCCCCCACCCTATGCTCCCTCTGGTCTTCCCATGTGCATATTGCATTTATTTTTCCTCCAGTCCATTAGCCTTGATACAAACGCTCCTGGGGGTCCTTTTTTTTATTTTTATTTTATTTTTTTACAGACCAAGAAGCAGAATGAATTCTACAGCAGACTGGCGGACCTGCATCTAGAGAAATATAACTTCCCCGTGGAGATGATGATCTGCCTTCCCAACGGAACAGTGGTACATTGGTCACGTTGGGTGGGCTGGGTTTTGGCCTTTCCATCTGTACAGATCCTCTATCCGGCACCCTGCCTGAGATATAGGACGCTGCAGCCCATCTGCCTAGGCCCTGAAACTAATGCCGCTCTCGTTGCATGCTCCCATTGGGTTTCTGTTTCACCATTCGGGGGCTTTGAGACAGTTAAGGCAAGTAACACACCATTTGCAAAGGGATTTAATGAATCACACTCCACTAACACGAGCAATATACAGAGCGATGGAGAAATAACTAAAACGGCATGCAGATCCCGGTCTCTGTTTCCTCAGCCCTCCGAAGACTCCTTGGGTTGTAGTTCCCATCTTTGAGAGCGCACTGGATTCTTCTGCTCCACTTTCTTCTCCCGCCTTGTCTTGTTTTCTGGCCCTGGTCTGTGAGAGAACCTCTCTTTTCACAGCGGATTTCAACAGCTTTGTCCCTTCCTGTCCATCCTTTGGGTTTGTCGTAGTGGATCAGAATCATTAGCAAGTCAATAGACGTTGTGTCCATTGTGTCCCCTTTGGACTTAAACAGCAGCTTTTAACACTTGTATTGATTTGGCTAAATATTGGCAATTGAGATGTCCACACCCACTGTCTGCAGTAGCTCTCCAGGACTAAGTTAACCCTTTGAAGCCAGGTAGCAGACATGTGGTAGTAACCATATAGAGGTGCATATAATAATAATAAGTCTCCCACGCTTCTCATGTCTACTCCCTGAAGTTAACTAGTATCTGGGTTTTTTCCTGGCTCTGCCATAGGATTCCTGTGTGATCTTGTCCAAATTACCTAGGGCTTGATATTTTCAGAAGTACCGAGCAGCCCCAGCACCCAGCATGGTTGATGGGAGCTGCAGGTACTCAGTGCTCTTGAAAAGTAGGCCATCAATCTCTTGGTCCCTCCATTCCCCATCTGTAAAATGGGAGCCATCCTTGCCTTCCCTCCTGTAGGGGTTTGGAGGCTTCATTCATTAACAAAGAACTTGGAGAACCTGGGACTTAAGGTGAAGGGCAAACGACCTAGTAGTTGGCCATAGGCTAATTCACTGGATGATGCAGTGTCCTTGTACCTGTGCTTATTAAACTCTGTCCTGCCAATACACCCTTTCCTTTCCTTTCCTTTCCTTTCCCAGATTCACCATATCAATGCCAACTATTTCCTGGATATTACTTCTATGAAGCCTGAAGAAGTCGAGAGCAGCATCTTTAGCTTCTCAACCAATTTTGAAGATCCTTCCACTGCAACCTACCTCCAGTTCCTGAAGGAAGGACTGCAAAGAGCCAAACGGTTCCTGCAGACCTAAAAAAAAAAAAAAAAGGCAAGTGAACACCCAGCAGAGATGGCCAAAGATTTTAGAGTTCTTCTATTTTGATTAAGGCAATTGTTCCTAATCTATAGACTCGACATGGTACTGATACTAAAATGTAAAAGATTCTAGGACTGGAGTCTTGAGCTGAATAGTAGGGCTGTAGATTCTAGAATACATCTTTTTTTAATACTTTAAAAGGATAAGTTAAGTGAAATTGGAGTTTAGGAAACTTCTACAGGAGCTGAAATACTTTAATTTATAAACTTAATACACTGTTTGTGTATATGTCTCAAAGTCTGATCTGTTACCGGTTCTCATATTTTCTATCTTTGGTTAAAAGATTGTGTATAGTAAAACTCCTGTTATAGCTACATTGACTGAAAATCAGAAATGCTTGTTATCTAGGGCCTAGTTTCAACTCTCATTTCTCTTGCTGAACAGCATCATGCAATAGTCCCAATGAAATTAAGTGCTTATGTTAAGTGCTACTCCACGTGAATAAGCATTACAGAATTGGGTCTCCAGTGTAGAATGGTTTCTACAAGCATTTCGCAAATGACACCAATTCTCTTTGCTTCTGGGTGCAATTCAGGGTGTTGACTCTGATCTATAAACTAAATACGTATTTAGGTCCTGAGTAGTTGAGATGGCCTCTCTTTGGCCGCTGTAGCAACTCAATCAGCCTAGGACACCTTTGCTGACAATGTCTAGATCTGAAGGTAGGATGTCCTATTGGAGAGCCTTCAGCTCTGGAAATAATCCACTCCCAGATGCTTCATGACATGGTGTAAGACCCATTTTATTTATTCAAGCTTTTGCCTTCGAAGGGAGATTATGAAATTTATATGATGCAAGTGGCAGTGGGGAATTGGTCAACAAATGTCTTCAGTGTCTTGAGAGTTCTTATTCTACGAGATGTCCTGGACGTGACTCCAAAGTGCCAGGGTCATCCAGAAGTTCTCCCATTTCCTGTATGGTTGCAACATGCTACTGTCCATATTTATTTTTTTGCACGTTTCATGTTTCCAATTTGAATTATATAAAGTCCTTCTTCAGAAGCAAAATGTAACAGTTTTTTTTTTTTAAATGGAAGGTTCATATTGTTTCTTGCATGTTACTTCCTATAAAATTTAAGTTTGTTTTTTTTAACTAGCTGCTTTGAAAACTGCACCTGAGAATTTTCCAAGTGCAAAGAATGAAGGAGAACTTGCCCAGACAAAATGCTTTTGATCCTTCATCTCTAACCATCCTGAGCATCCGCATTTACTTTATGCAAGTACTTGGCCACAAGACAAACATGGTTTGAGAGTGGGGATTAAATTTAGTTAAGATCAGAGAGACGAAATTTTAGATCACAAAACGCTTCTGTTATCAATGATACAATAACTATTGGATTTTACATAAGAGTGGGTATACTAGGTCAGATCAATGGTCCATCTAGCCCACTATCTTGTCTTCCAACAATGGCCAATGCCAGATGCTTCAAAGGGAATGAAAAAACATGGCAATTATCAAGTGATCCATCCCCTGTTGTCCAATCCGGCATCTGGTAGTCAGAGGCTTAGGGACACCCAAAGCATGGGGTTGCATCCTTGACCATCTTGGCTAAGAGCCATTGATGGACCTGTCCTCCATGAACTTCTCTAATTCTTTTTTGAACACTGTTATAGTATTGGCCTTCACAACATCCCCTGGCAACAAGTTCCACAGGCTGACTGTGTGTTGTGTGAAAAAGTACTTCTTTTTGTTTGATTTAAACCTGCTGCCTATTCATTTCATTGGGTGACCCCTAGTTCTTATGTAAAGGGGTAAATAACACTTCCTTATTCACATTCTCCACACTATTCATAATCTTATAGACCTCTGTGATATCCCTCTTAGTTGTGTCTTTTCCAAGTTGAACAGTCCCAGTCTTTTTAATCTCTCCTCATATGAAAGCTGTTCCATACCCTTAATCATGTTTGTTGCCCTTCTCTGTTTCTTTTTCCATTTCTAATATATGTTTTGAGATGGAGCGACTAGAACTGCAGGCAGCATTCAAGGTGTGGGCTTTCCATGGATTTATATAGTGGCATTATGATATTTATTGTCCTCTTATCTATTCCTTTCCTCATGGTTCCTAACATTCTGTTAGCTTTTTTGACTGCCGCTTCACATTAAGCAAATGGTTTCAGAGAACTAGCCTTGATGACTCTAAGATCTCTTTCTTGAGTGGTAACAGCTAATTTAGACCCCCATCATTTTGTATGCATAGTTAGGATTATGTTTTCCAATATGCATTTATCAACATTGAATTTCACCTGCCATTTTATTGCCCAGTCACACAGTTCTGTGAGATCCTTTTGTAATTCTTCACAGTCTGCTTTGGACTTAACTATCTTGAGTAATTTTCTATCATCTGCAAACATTGCCAGCTCACTGTTTACCCCTTTTTCCAGATCATTTATGAATATGTTGAACAGCACAGGTTCCTGGGTGACTCCACTATTTACCTCTGTCCATGCTGAAAACTGACCTTTTATTCCTATCCTTTGTTTCCTGTCTTTTATCCAGTTACTCATCCATGAGAGGACCTTCACTCTTAAGGAAATTAAGTGGTCATGGGTTAAGAGCCTTTGGTGAGGGACCTTCTCAAAGGCTTTCTGAAAGCCCAAGTACACTGTATCCACTGGATCACCCTTGTCCACGTGTTTGTTGACCCCCTCAAAGAATTCTAATAGATTAGTGAGGCAAGATTTTCCTTTACAAAAGCCGCGTTGATACTTCCCCAACAAATTGTATTAATCCATGTGTCTGATAATTTTTAAAAATGATTGTTGCTTTATAGTAGCCATCAACAGTTACTTTTGTGGCAGCACCTTTTAATGTACATTCCTATTGGGAGGTCAGACAGCATCCGTGGTAGACAATCAAAAGCAGCCAATTGCTACAGACAAATAGCAGAGCTGTTGTCACCTTTTCTGCTCTCTGAAGCACAACGCTCTGTACTGTTTGGGTATCTTGTTTTTCTTCCTTGGTGGGGTGTGTAACCTGTGACAAAAAGCTCACCTCGACCCACTTGTTGTAGTGACGTTCACCCTTGGGATGTTTCCCAGTATTCGCTTTAGAACTGTGTGTTTTGGCTCCTGCTGGCATCTCTGAACCACTAGAAATACATTACGGACTCAGGTTTGGCAGCATTTTTTATGGTGATTGTGATAATTCAATGTCTGTAAACGGTGTTGTCTGAACAAAAAGCACCTGGCTCGCTCATGGAAGTAGCCTGAGCCCCACAGCAAACATGCAGTATCCCCTAGGTTAAAGGGACTCTCTTGGATCAGGCTGTGATTTTGGTGGGGGAAAATCCTGGCCAGGGGTGAGCAAACGTTTTGGCCCGGGGGCCACATCTGGGAATAGAAATTGTATGGGGGGCCATGAATGCTCCCAAAATTGGGGTGGGGGGGGGAGGGCTCTGGGGTGGGGCCGGGGATGAGGAGTTTGGGGTATAGGAGGGTGCTCCGGGCTGAGACCAAGGGGTTCGGAGGGCAGATGGGGAATCAGGGCTGGGGCAGGGGGAAAGGGTGCGGGCTCTGGGGTGGGACTGGGGATGAGGGGCTTGGGGTGCAGGAGGGTGCTCCGGGCTGGGATTGAGGGGTTCGGAGGGTGGGAGAGGGATCAGGGATGGGGCAGGGGGTTGGGGCGCACGGGGAGGCTCAGGGGTGCAGGCTTTGGGCGCTGCTTACCTCAAGCGACTCCCGAAAGCAGCGGCACGTCCCTTCTCCGGCTCCTGCGGCCAAGTGGCTCTGCACGCTGCCCCGTCTGCAGGTGCCACCCCTGCAGCTCCCATTGGCTGTGGGGGCGGCACTTGGGGTGGGGGCAGCATGCAGAGTGGAGCCCCCTGGCTGCCCCTACATGTAGGAGGCAGGACATGCCGCTGCTTCCAGGAGCCGCATGGAGCAGCCCCCAACCCTGCTCCCCAGCTGGAGCACCGGAGCGGGGCAAGCCCCAGACCCCACTCCCTAGCGGGAGTCTAAGGACCAAATTAAAACGGCTGGTGGGCCAGATGTGTCCCACGGGCTGTAGTTTGCCCACCCCTGGCTTTGACCCAACCTTTAGGTTTTTATAAAACCTAATATAATTAGAAGCACTTTCATTGCTTTAAAAAAAAGTCTCAGGGGATTTTAACCTTTCAACCACCCCTTGTATAAATATCCTTAGCTTGGGGAAGGAGATCAAATGGTCTGCCCTCTGTCTAGCTTTGCAGTAGCAGAACCAAAAATGCAGGGCCCCACGTGAACAGCTAGAGATTGTTTTCAATTTCTCATGGCATGAAAAAAGTGGGATTAAAATATAAAATCTCCAGGGCCCCTCTGTCTACGTCAGAGAGTCATCAATGGCTCTGACCTTCCATCAGTGGGAAGTGCTTTGTACCTGTACTCGGAATCACTTCCATTTATATTTTGCTGGCTGTGCGATTAGTGCAAATGACCCCAGTTGGAGGCAAGAAAAGCATCAACTGGTGCTAAAGATAGTGACAATCTGATTGCATCATACTACTACGGTAAGACAATTGTGCAAGTATTTCTCTCACTCTTGTGCTAAGGTGCATCAGTCACCACAGAAGCATAACCAGAATTCACCAGGAAGCAGTGCTGTGAACTCTGGGATACATTCACAGATGACAAAGTGTCACAGTTAGCACAGCATCAATGTGGACGCAGGGTAAAACCTTCCACTACTACAGCACTGAATGTGTCCACAGGTAGTGGACATTAGAACAGTTGGGTTGACGTTGATTGATATGGTACCAATGAATCTCTAAGGCAGACAGTGCCTACGACATTCCCAACCAAATTAGAACCAAAACCTAGATCTATGGTATCCTTAACATTGTCCAAAATGACTACATCTCCCTCTTGAGTCCCTGAAATGGGCCTTTTCCCCACCATAATTAGAATCAACTCATTAGAAATTAAGCATGGTGGGAAGAATTCTTCTGTTTCAAGAATAATCAATATACTCCAGGGGCTCAGAAGCTGTTGTATGGCTCTCATAAGGAGTTTGATTCCAGTATTAATCTTGCAATCATAAAGCTGCCTAAAAGAACTAATTGCTGCTTTTACTATTGTTTAATCTTTGATCGAGTTTTGAGAGGTGGACTCTGAACAAAAGCGGTGTCTTAAACTTTTTTAATATGTGCCAAACTTTTCATATTTTTACTATATACTTCATAGGCTTTTGTAGGTGGTTTTGATATCTCTGAAGAGGATGAAGTAGAAGCTTTCTTTATTCCCTGATCATCTGTGCTTTGTGACGGTCTGATCTTAAATCATGAATGGGTCAGGGCTGATTTCTGACAGCTGTAATTCAGGGAAAAATTTATTTCATTTCCTCCTCCTCTGCAAGTTTTTTAATCAGTGTATGTAAAATATATTTTCATCTAATGTTCTTGCCCAGAGACAATTCACGTTTAGAGGTGAACATTCTCAAATCATGTATTTTTTACAAAAGTAAATGTTCCCATTCTAATGTGTGTGTGACTAATTTTAATACATTGTAGTCAGGCTATGCTGGACAGTTTCTATAGCAGTATTGGAGAGCTCTCAAGGATTACTTAGTGTAGTGGAGGGAAGAAATACCCAACATAAACCAGCCAGCCTATAACTCAGATATATACTGTGTATCAACCATTGATGCTCTTCTCCATTTGTGTTCCCTAGTGATCTTGGAATTAAACAGCGGTGTGGTAATAAGCTAATACACACCGAGGTCAATATGGAATGATGATTTTTGTGTTTTGTGCATACCTCATTCTTTCTAAAATGGTTTTACATATTTAAATACCTGATTATAGGTTTGTTTATAACTACGCCTACAGAAAAACCATTACATTAAGCATTAGCTCAGTGTTCTGATTGAGCTTTACAGGTAATTCTTGTGAGAAATGTTCTCAATTTTACCATCTGTACCAGCTTAGTTCACTCATTTTTGTGTAATAATAACAAAAAAATCTGAAAAATAAATGCTTGTTTTGCTTGTCATTTTGATATGTTGGCAATTGGACTAAATCAAGACTTGTTTCCGAACGAGTAATGTGTGTAGTAAGAGGAGGCCCTGAGAGATAAACCTTGGTATCAGAGGCCTGGTATGAGGCCTAAGGCCTGAACTAAAGTAATGGTCAAGACTTTGCTAACATAAAGCAAAGTTAAGCTGTGAGCCAGAGGCAGGCCCTGCTCACAGAAGCTGGCAAGGAAAGGGCTGATGCTGCAAAAAGATACATACCTAAAAAGTACTGAACACTAGATATTAGAACACTCCTATACTGGAACATTCCACAGATAACATGGAACAGGCTGACCCATCCCAATGACAGGGGCAAAAGGGTAAAATGATGGATAGAGTTGTTTTGATCGAACCAACATGTACAAGGTGAGAGGCGGCACCTTAGTATGTAGGGAGGTTGTACCTTGCTACGTGAAGGGGTTGCACCTCAATACGTCAGGAGTGATGTGTAACTTGTTTGTACCCGTGTATAAGAATGTATCCCTGGGGTGGTGTCTTTGTCCGGCCACGGGGGCAGTGGAAAGTCCCGCCACTGAGCCGGGTCCTTGCCAAGAGGCACTTTCTCGTAGTATGCCCGGTAGACTAAGTAATCTACGGGGAACTGCCATTGTGTCCGAGATCGCAATAAACCTAGTCGAAGTGACTTTGCATCTTACTAGACTCTGTGGTTATTGGGGGTTCTTGTCGGGTTTGCTGTGTCAGCTATCTGCGCAGAGCTGGGGCAGCACACAGAGGGAACATACGCACGCAGCCGAGTGATATCAACAGGAGAAAGCAGAAGCACCACACCGGTAGCATCTGACAACAACGTGTGAAAGGATTAGCAGGGTTGAAATGGCTGGGCACATACTGAAAGGTAGGAGGTATAGTGTGAGGGAGAGCAGGGCCGGATTTATGACCGGCGGGGCCCGATTTGAATACCCAGTGGCGGTCTGCGGCTTTGGCGGCGGGGGGGTCTGCTCCGGGTCTTCCACGGCACCGAAGGACCCCCCACCGCCGAAATGCCGCTGAAGACCCCCAGAGCGGACCCCCGCTGCCGAAATGCTGCCGAAGACCCTCGGAGCGGGGCCCGATTCCGGGGAATCGACCTAAAGTCGGCCCTGAGGGAGAGGACTTCTCAAGGCCAATGTTTTGAGCCAGAGCCAATACAAAGGTCACCCCTCTCTGCATACTGCAGAGCCTCAGATCCATGCGCTCTCATTCTTCCCAGGCAAAACTCCCTTTGCTGCTGCTAGAAGTTCGGCAGTGCGACACCTACACTGGAATATTGCTGTCAACTCTGAAGGTCACCAAGAATATTAGAAGGAACAGATGATGAAAGTTCTGGAACTGACAAAGGAATCCTAGAACAAAGCCCATTTTTCTGAGGCAACTGACTCGCCTGGAGATGGATAGACTCAAATGCCAAGGTATTTAAAGTTTGGCTGGGTAAGGCCAAAATAGGCTATGTTGCCATAAAGATGGGATTGGAGTTGAGATGCGCTGACTCCTGGACCCTTCTTCATGGGCCAACTAGCATGTTTGTGTCACTTTTCTGCCAATGGCTCTAATCTCTTCTTTAGCAACTGGCCAATGTCCAAAGCTCCACTGTAAAAGCAGGAAGAAAGTGAGTCAGGCAAGGTAAATTCCCTGTCGCAAACTGAATGTGCCTGGCTCCTCTTGGAGAGCTCTGGCCTGAAGGGTTACAGTAGTGGTGTAGTGGGGGTGAAGGACATTCTGAAATGCTATGTTGAGTGGAGATCAAACCCCTCACTGCTGAGTACCACCTAACAATCCAAAATCACTCTCCTTTGTGTCCATAAGCTAAATCATTCCAATCAGCTGTGAGAAGGCCCCTTGCAAAGTGAATAATGCTACTAAATTGCTACTACATATATACCTTGGCCTTCTGGTCTTTGATTAAAAATTGTTCGGGCAGTAGGAATTGGTGTGGCAATGGTATTTGAGAGCTCTGGTACAGTTGAGAGACTAGGTAACCTCCAGCACGGAGAAATCGATCTCTGTATGGGGTGGAGAGGAGGGATACATTTTGCATCGCTGAGTTGTGCACCTTACCTATGGGAGCACCAACCAGCCCTGGGCGAAGAATGTATCCTACCACAGGGATGTAGGTATCTGTGTGTTGGGGGGCAGGGAAGGGGAGCTTTGACAATGCTCCTGTCAAACCATTATGCATCCTGATTTGGTTGTTCCTTCAGTGTGTCCCCTATGGTCGTTCCTCACCCCAACCTGTCCCTGCATGTAGGCTTCTACCAAAGCCCTGGGTAGAAGGGAAGGAGCAAGGACAAGAGCAGTGTGCTGGGGTCGGGGCACTAAACCTGAAGGGGATCAGAGGGAGGTAGAGCTGGTTAGGAATTGTCCCATGAAAGAAAGAGTTTAGCTGGAAAAGGTCAATTCATTAAACCACAAATGTTTTCTGGAAACATCACTTGGAATTACAGACATGTTCTGATTGAAACCTGTCTGGGTTCTGGATGGGCTGCTGGGAACCCTGGGTTTCTAGAGTCTGTGACTGGGGCAGCCCATTAGCCTGAGAACTCCAGCTCTCAGTGGGGCTGGCTCCATGAGTCCCCAGACTCCAGCCCACTCCTCCCAGGAACTGGGTGCGCGTGGCTGCTCCATTTGTTTTGGGGAAAGTTGAACAGAAACGGTTTGATTTCTTTGGAACTGCCTCGTTTTGTTCCAAAACTGACTGAAAACTTTTTGGGGAATTGCCAAGGGGACAAGAAATTCAGATTTTTTTTTTTTTTTTTTTGACCAGCTCCACAAGAGGGATTCCTAGGGCTGGCCCCATGTCTCTGCCTCCCTACAGGATGATGGGGGTTCCTGAAGCTTCCTCCTGTGTCTCTGCACCCCTGCATAGGGTGAAGGGGGCTTCCTGGGGTAGGGTTGGCAGGCATCCAGTTTTCAACCGGAACACCCAGTTGAAAAGGGACCCTGGTGGCTCTGGTTGGCACTGCCAACTGGGCCATTCAAAGTCCGGTTGGCGGCGCAGCAGGGGCCCGGGGCTTAGGCAGGCTCCCTACCTGCCCTGGCTCTGCGCTGCTCCTGGATGCAGCCGCCAGATCCCTGTGGCCCCTAGGCACTGGGGTAGCCAGGGACTGGAAGGCTCCGCGCGCTGCCTCTGCCCCGAGTACTGGCTCCGCAGCTCCTATTGGCCAGGAACCGTGACCAATGGGAATGGCGGGGGGCGGTGCCAGCAGGTACCAAGGCAGGACGCACTGCACAGAGTTGCCTGGAGGCCACAGGAACATGGGGGCTGCTTCCTTGGAGACGCGGTAAGCGCTGCTGGCACCCACCCCCCCTCTTGCACCCCAAACCCCTCATCCCTGGCCCTACCCCAGAGTCCACAGCCAGAGCCCCCACGAGCCCTCACCCCCAGCCGGAGTCCCGTTGCCCCCCCCAGCCCCCTACCCCAGCCGGAAGCCCCCTCCTGAACCCCTCAGCTCCAGCCCAGAGCCCATACCCCAACCCCCTGCCCCAGCCTGTGAAAGTGAGTGATGGAGGGAGGTGGATGGAGCAAGTAGGGGGGGTGGGACCTCAGCAGGGGCGGGGCATAGGCGGGGCCTCAGAGAAGGGGCGGGGCCTAGGCGGGGCCTCAGAGAAGGGGCGGGGTGGGGTGTTTGGTTTTGTGTGATTAGAAAGCTGGCCCCTGTATCTCTGCCCCAAGGAGAAGGGGGGGTGCTGGGGGGACCCTCTTGTCTCCGCTTCTCCCCCAACCCCCCCCCGTTGCTAGGGCCCCGCCCTCAGGGGCGGAGTCAGCTTCAGCCCCCGCCCAACAGAGCCACGGTACGTCTCGCTGTGACGCCACCACGCACAGGAGAGCCCGTGCGTCCCCGGCACTGAGCGATGGCTCACGGGAGGGGGCGGAGTCACTCGCTCCCAGCAGCAGCCGGCGGGGCGGAGGCGCCACGCTCCGGCTAACCCGGAGGGACGCGATACTGCGCAGGCGCATAGGGACGAGGCGCTCTCGGAAGTAAGTCGGGACAGCTGCCTGAGTCGGTTATCGCGTTCTACTTCCGGGTCAGGGCCCGATACCTCACCGGAAGTGGAGGTGAGACGGGAGGAGGAGGAGGCGGCGGCGGTACCGGCGGGTTCCTCCGTGGAGAGAATTTCAGGTGCGGGAGGTCAGGTAACCGCAGGGGGTGGGGAGCTCGGGGTGATTGTAACGGGAGGGGGCATGGAGGGTGGGGGAAGGGGAGCTGGGGGTGATTGTAACGGAAGGGGATGATTGTAACGGGGGAGGGGGAGCTGGGGGTGATTGTAACGGGGGGAGGTGATTGTAAGGGGGGGGGGGGGAGCGGGGGTTGATTGTAAGGGGGGGGGACATGGCAGGGATGGGGGGAGGGGGGGGTTGGGGGGGAGCAGCGTAACTGGAGGTATGTATGCAGGGGGAGGTGTTTCACTCAGGTATTGCCTCTGCTACTTTGGGCTTCTCTGTAAAGTGGGTGAGAGACTGAGAGTCCCAGGTCTGGATTGGGGGGAATACAGGACCTCGCTAAGAACATCCCCCCACTCGGTCTTTCTGCAAACCTTTCCTTCTCTAGTGCTGCCCTCGCTGGGTTTTAAACAGCAGGGAGGTCTCCTCGGGAAGCAGGTCACTGTCATCACCCCCATTTAATAAATGGGGAAGCTGAGGCACCGCGAGGTGAAGCTGATAATCTGCGGTAACAGTTGACAAGCCAGGAATAGAACAGAGGCTCCTGCTCTAACCACTAGGCTACATTCCCTCCCAAAGCTGGGACTAGAATCCAGGAGTTCTGGCTCCTGATTTGACACTGAACCACTTCACCGCACTCCCTCTCTAGTTCATCTTGCCCAGTATTTTTTTAGTTGGAATTAAAGCTGCATCACTGATAGGGAGAGAATCAGAGACTAACACAGACATGTACACTCCAGTTGCCTGTTAATTTTCATATCACTTCCTCAAGGGTCCCTAACAGTAAAATGCACTGTGTCATCATCATTAAATGTTTTTTAAATTAATACTATTAAAATAAAATTCCCCACTCAAACCAAAAAGGCCCCTAGCCCTACTTGGGACAAGGCTAGGAAAACCGATGGGCCTGGCTTTCTCTGATGGGCATCACGAGTTTCTTGGATCACTGTAACTCAAGAGTGAAGCTTGAGTGGTTTGTAGCATCTCTTAAGACATGGGAGGTTTCTCTTCAATTTTGGGAGCAGCTGAGCTTATCCTGGAGCAATAGATTTCAATCTCTGTACTGCAGTTGTTGTCAATTCCTCTTTGGCTTCTCCCCGATTGATTACTCTGTGGGCTCCTGGGTACACCAATGTTTGTACTCCTGTGTAAATGACATGAGTCGGGGACAGTTAATGGTGGTTCTGTGCAGGCTGAAGAACACTTTGGCAGTGCCCCTCTCTGTCATGCGTAGTTATTTTTGGTTGACTGAGCTGTGACACTGTCAGCATATGTCACTTTTAGCTGACCTTGGTTCAGTATGGAGGAGGGCTGTCGTGGCTTGTTTTCTCTACATGGCTGATGTTTATATGTCCTTTGCCACACTTGTTGCTCTTGAGCCACCAATTTTGTGGTATTCACTGATGGGGGGGAAAAAAGGTGGTGATTTTATCACCGCAAACCTGAGGTGAACTTGTATTTGTATATGAAGGCACCTGGATGCTACCGTGACTGCCGATCTTATTAGAGACAGTTGCTTGCTTCATGAAGTTCTCCATGTCATTCCTATGGTACTAATGTTACTGCAAGGGATGAAAATGGACTACGGCAAATTAACCCCCCTCCCATGAGAAATCAAGGAGAGGAAATGAGCAAGGGGGGGGAAAATCCCTTTCAGACAACTGACTGCTAACGCTCAAGAGGCCTGCTTACGTTAGGGAGGCGGGTCATTTTAAATACCTTTTTTGGCTTCTCTTTGGATCTTGGCAGTCCGAGCAGCAGCTTCTAGCTGCCGACCTCTGTCAGCATGAGACTTTGTTGTTTCGCTGGTGCTTGTTAAAACATCTTTGGCATGTTGAATATAAGGAGCTTAAAGGGACACCATCGGCTGAAAGATAGTCAACTTCAAAAACCTGAGTTAGCTGTATTTCCAAGTATACACCTACCCCTGAGCACCCCCCAGCCAATCTCTATGGGTTTCTAATCACATTTTACTATATTTAAAGACCCCTATCTCTGTTGTTGTGTGAGAGATTCCCCCACCCCACCCGCAACTAACCAGTGGAACTGACTGTATACAAAATCCTGTCAAATGTACAAAGTTGACAAAACAGGGTAGGGGAATTATTCTCCTCTGTGCCCATCACTAGAGGATTCTCTTTCATGGGTCTCAAGCATCCTCAAGGCCAGATGGAACCGCCAAAGCTTAATGTTTTTGGATGGTGTCATACTCCCCCCCCCCCCGCACCCCCTTCCCTCAGGTTCCCCTACCAGTAAGTGGAACGTTCTGATCCTGTGATGTGGGTAGTACAGTGTTCAACTGCCTTCAACTGGCAGTTCCTTTGTCACTACTAGCAGGAGAGGAGCTCCCCTCTAGCTGCTCCTGTGGGTTGGGGGGTGGTGGTATTTTTCTGCCTTTGTTCTTTCCACCCCCTGGGGAGTGTGAGTTTAGATGTGCGAGGGATGAGAGTCAGAGGCCTGTCTTTACAGAACCTTGCTAAAGACATTTCCTGTCCCCTTTATCTGCCTGAAACCCTGCCCTGTTCCCACCTACCTCTAAGAAGCTCAAATAAGAGATGCCTCAACTTACCCACCTATCCTTATTTGGGAGGCAAGTGCCATGGCTAAGAGGGAGAAACTGCCAGTCACCATAGTAACTTCATGGCAGAGCTAAGAGTAGAACCCAGGAGTCCTAGCATCCAGTCTGGCTCTTCAACCATGTGATACATACTCTCCTTAGTTCATTTTGTGCATTACTTCTCAGCTGGGATTAAAACTGCTTTTTGAGGAAGGCTGCATGGTTACCTCTATTCAAGGTCCAGAAGTATTGAGTTCAGAAGGACAACATCCCTCCTGATATTCACCTCAGCTGTAAGAGTGGCAGAGTTCCTTGGCCTTAGGGGCCTGTCTTAAAATCACTGCATGCCCAAAAAAGGGCCATGTTAACTACTCTTCTGATAAAGGTAGGGCTCTTTGTAAAGTTGACTTAGATATTGATGTTTAAATACACAAATGCAGAACTTGTCCACATCTAGGCTCATTGTGTTGTTTTTGTTTTTTTAGTGAGAAAATCTGTGTACATCAAGGTGAAATAATATGAAGCTGCCTTATGTTTCTTGGCGTTACAATTTTCGTCTCTGATTTAATTGTTCATCCAGTTTGGGAACCTTCTCTACAGCCTGAGATGGAAACAGAGTCAGTAAGTACAACATCTCTTTGAAAAATACTTAATTATGCAGAGCCGGGGGATCCCAAAACTTCTCATTCTGCAGAACGCATCATGAGAGAGACTCTCATTTGTCATCTCCCTTCCCAGTACCCCTAACCTTTATTGCTTGTGTAAGAGCTGCAAGGATGCCATTTCATGTACTCACTATCTATTGGGTTTTATTATATATAAAATTTAGCTGTTCTGTTTGAATGGTGAGATTACAAATACATTAAGGAACTTCTTGTTATACCGTAAAACAAGTGTTGCTTTGGCTTTCAAATCTGTATTATAGGAATTGGTGCATTTATAGCCTAGTGATTCAATTTATTATTTAATATATGGGTAAACAATTTAAATTTAAAACCAGCACTGTCAGGTAGCTTCAGTCCAAAATATAGATGTTGTGTGTCTTACAAAAAAGTTTTATCAACCAACTATTAATGGGGAGTTTTGCATGAATTGAAAAATATAAGCTTGTTTGGATTTAAACATTTACCTCCAGAGTTTGCCAAAGTCTAGAAGATGACTATAAACAGACATGAAACTGACTAAGGAGGTGATTTTCAAAGGCACAAATACCAGTTCGGCACCTCACTTCCTTTCATTGACTTTCATGTGTGTAAAGCTAGACATGGGTTTGTAGAAAGAGGATCTTAATTTGAAAATAAATATTGGTACTTGCTGGTACTCTTAACTTTTTATTCTTTTAAAAATAGCTAAAAGAGGTGCCATAGGTTTGAATTTAGTTTATATGGTGGCTCTCGACACTTTCAGAAGCTGCCTTTTAAAATCTAATCTTTCTTTATTTGAACTATTTGATAAAATGTTGTCTTGATTCTCAGACTATCCCAATTTGGCAGAACAAACCCCATGGCTCATCACGCAGTGTTGTCAGGAGGATTGGGACAAACCTTCCTTTAAAACCCTGTCCTAGAGCGTCCTTTGAGGTAAGGGGATGCATAAGAGAGTCTGCAAATATATGCAGGACTCTTCAGTTCTTTAGCAACAGAAGTAATTCTGATTTGCCATTCTTTCCCATAGCAAAGTAAAGTATTTTTTAAATTGGAAATGCACCACATGCAGCCAATAGGATTGTATAATTTATCATCTGTTTTAACCATTTTAATTCTTCCTAGTTTTTGTAAATCCCTGAAATGATCAGTGGCAATTTGGGAACAACATGTTCTATACAATCATGCCAGCAATCAGGAAGGAGTGTGAGCTAATGATTAGAGGGGACTGAGTCCAAACTTCTGGGTCCTATTCCCAGCTTAGTCACTAACTGAGTGTGGGACCTCGGGCAAGTCGCTTAACCTCCCTGTGCCTCTGTTTCCCAAACCATAATAGGAGGCTCATGATACATGCCTACCTCATTGTGTGTTTGAGAGTTAGCTCAATAATGGGTATTGCTTTGTAGCTGAAAAGTGGTGTTCATGTGCTCACTAATTTTTCCTTTTTTGGCTGCATTTCAGGCAATAGTGCGTACATTTTTGCAGGTGCATTTGCCAGTTTTATGATGCACATCAAAAAAGCTGAGGACAGTTTCATAAACACACACAGCATTTCATGTACTGGTTTATCTGAATCTATCTACACTGGCTTCGTACAGCTATGAATCTGATGCAGAGAAGGCTTCATTGTCTTTAAATTGTACCAAACACATTAAACAGAACAAAACTATTATATTTATTATAATGTCACTATGTTCTTCCTAGGTTCTACCAAACATTTCAGATCTGTATCTAAATGATGCACCTCCAGTCCCCACTCTGGCAGATATTGCATGGATAGCAGCAGATGAAGAAGAAACGTATGCTAGAGTCAGGTATTTTTACTTTCTTTCTCACCCAATAGCTTTCCGTTCTTCCATTCTTCCTGTACAGCGACTTGTTTTGTGAAAGATAAAACAGTAACTGATCAAATGCTCATAATTTCTAGTCACTTGAGTTGTTCTGGTGAGATGCCTATTGATTGATTTTATTGAAAGTTGTTCTACAGAGAGGAGGGATGAGAAGTTTTGGCCAAGGACACTAGGGCAAACTCTTACAGAAAGTGCCAGGGGATACTTAACGTTCAAGAAGAGTGGCTAGGCTCTTAGTTTTTAAGATCGTAATTGAAAGACCTCCACCTAGTAAACTACATGGTGCTCAGGGTATCTACTTCAGAAGGATGAAGGGCTGTCATATCCCTTCTGGGATTCATACCTGTTTGTCCAGAGAGTCCACTTCTATCCATTTCACTTTTTGAAGTTCTGGGGCAGGCCAGTAACTTTAATATTAACGTGTCTTGTGAAAAATAAAATGGCCCTTTGCAGTCTGAAAAACTATGTAATGGGGACAGGTTACGCCCCCATGCGCGCACACAATCTCAAATGCCACTCCATTGCATAGAAATGTAAACCAGCCGGCAGAGAGGAATATCCTGCTGGCCTCCCGGTTAATGCTCTAGACTGAAAGTTCAGAGGCTTGCTTTTTTGTTCCTGCGTCTGCCACAGACTTTGGGCAGCAGTTTTTGTGTAGTTTCTGTGCCTCATTTTCCTGCTTTATAGAACAGGGATAATATCTACCTCCCACGAGTATCCTGATTCATTGTTTGTCAAATGCTTTGCAGTTCTTGGGTGGCAAGCTGTGGAAATACAAAACATATTGCATGGGGTCTGTTCCGTTTGTGTGACTGATGGGCTTTTGTGCTGTACTTTTTAGGAGTGACACACGCCCATTGAAGCACAAGTGGAAGCCCAGCCCGTTCTTTGTTATACAGCGAAATGCTTCAGTCCCCAACTTGAGAAAGCAGGAAGAGAAGCTGCTGGTCTTGAAGAAACCTGGTTTACCGGCCCTCAGTCGGACGACAGAGCTTCAAGATGAGCTGAGTCTCCTGCGGAGTCAAATAGCTAAAATTGTAGCTGCAGATCCAGGTAGGAACATAACAGTCCTTCTTTTCTAACAATAAAAGGCTTGAGACTGTGAACAGTGATGATTCCGCTATAAAAAGCAGTACTGGTCAGATACATTGCCAGTATTCTGGCTTTTTGCATAAAAATGCAAGACAATAGATATTTTGTCTTCTTTGGATCCCTCTCTCTAGTATGTGCCTTAGCGATCTAATACAATATATACGTTTGTAATGGTATACATGGCCAAAGCTGTCCAGACAGCTCATTGTTACAACTACAGCTGAGTTGAGCATCCTAGGAGTTTATTGACTAGTGGGGAGATGACAACCATGCTGATCCTATTGCTTTCTAAGAGCTGGCAGTGGCTTAAATGGAATACAACCATTTCTAGCATCCATGTAATGGAACACAAATGACATAAACGGCTAGACTTATAGAATTCACAATGGCTGAGTACGTTTCTTCCCTCCCCTTGTTGGTGCAATGTTGTCTGTGATGTCAATAGAATGAATGGTATTGTTTGTACGTATTGGCATTTGTTTGATTAGAAACCCCCCCCCCTCCCCCCACACACTTATTTTTAAAATAAGTACAACCAAAATCAACTGACTGTACTGGAGAGAGGGGGGGGGGGTGTTGAGTTTCCAGACTGGGTGCCTCCCATTGAATGAAAACGTTGGGGATTTAGTCTTGTCATTCTTGCCCCCAGGCCTGTTGTTGGTGTTTAAAAAGGGTTCTTTTCCTGTGTTTCTTTGGGAGTGTGATGTAAGTGTTCTGGTTTTTCATGACCAGAGATGAATACTAATTGTTCTCGGGCCAGTTAAGATTTTTGAGAAGAGGCCAGCTGGAGTTCACAGATTAATAGATTATAAAGCTAGAAAGGACCATTGTGATCATCTAGTCTGACCATGTGCACATCATCTTCTTGAATTAATTCTAGCTGGTTAACTGCTCCTGTTGTGTAAACACTGATTTTAGTTGTGTTTTAAGCTCAAAAAATGCAAGTCAATTTAATGTGAAAGAGGAAATTCCACCCTTCAATTTGCTCTTATGGTCTAGCTTCTGCTGGGTGGCTCTGGAAGTAAACAGGATGCTATGTTTGGTGAAACTCCAGAGTACACTGTGGCATCACATGCTTGTCCGTACTGCTGACCAATCAGAGTCACAGAGCTGTGCAAGACCAGAAATAGTCTTGGGGCCTTGTCAATCTTACAACTTTAAAACCTTTTGAAAGTAGAAATTTGGCTCATTACTGGAACTTGAACCGTCTCCAAAACAGCTTCTCTTGTAGGAAGCTGCTGCATCGGTTGTTCATGTGCAGTGCACTTGAACTGTTGGTGTACAACCAAGGTATAAAGGGCGTGGTTATGATTTGGCTTTCTGTCAATGGCATCAAAGGGGCAAAAATTGTAACTTTGTATGGCAAAAAATGCGAAAGCCTTTTCCATTTTTAAATAAAATGTCATAACATGATCTTAAATACTGCTTTGTCATGGAAAATTGTCCTAAGTGAAATATCCTTTATTCTGCAATTAAACATGGTTTACTTTTTTTTTAATTTAAAACCCAGGGCACTCTTCCATACTCGACTAGAGAACCAAATCTAATCCTTCAGGGAGGAGGAGACAGTTGAGTAGGGTGACACTTTTATGAAAAATACCTTGTGTCGTGGGATCTGTCATAAGTCATAGCTGTGACAAACTTACAGCCTTATAAACAATATAAGCCATTGCTTATACACCTCTACCTCGATATAACGCTGTCCTTGGGAGCCAAAAAATCTTACCACGTTATAGGTGAAACCGCATTATATCGAACTTGCTTTGATCCGCCGGCGTGCGCAGCGCTGCTTTACTGCATTATATCCAAATTCGCGTTCTATCGGGGTAGAGGTGTAGTTAGTTCCATTACAAGGGGAGACACTTACTCATTACATCCTCAGACTGTACTGGATTTAGTTTGAATGTTGGCCTCTGCATTTCAGACCTGAATCTTATGTATTAGGTTCAGCGCATTCTAACTTATTTTATCCATCTTTAATATCTCAGATGCCCACTTGGAATACATAGGATGTTTTTGTCTGGATCACAGTTAATTGTTAAATGAGATGCGGTACAAAGTAGGCTATCTAGCATATCTATGATGATCCACTCAGGGCAGAATTTGGCCACAAGTTTATAGGTCCCAGTTACATGCACAGAATACTTAGGGGAGCACTTACCGAGGTGGAAACTGAGGCAGAGAGGTTCTCTGGGACAAGACGGACACAGGATGAGAGTGAAAAAGCAGCCTTTAGAACTTCAGATTTTTTGATTCCTAGGCTTGTATTCTACCACTGGACATGCTGCCTCAAAAGTAACTGAAGGCAGAATGTGACCCTTAAAATGTCAGTGCACACTTCCTCTTAATCAGCTATTCGTACCTTTCGTTCTGCTTAAGCCATGTGGCGTCAGGAACAGCTTTAATGCTTGAGTTCAGCAGTAAAATGGGGGTTTAATAATAGACTAGATTGTGGCTCTTACTCTGAATACATGAGCCTTGTCTCATCCCCACCCCCTCCCTACGCCAGGTGATATTATTATATTTTTGTGTAACTGCCTCACTGCAAACTCTGGTCCAGTCCAGTCATCGTTTTCCAAAGAGATTCACTCAATGATTTCATGCATGTCGGAATTGTTCTTGCTGGTTATTTTGCTAGGAAACTAGGGCATTTTCCATGCCTTTGGGTAGGGCATGGTGCATTCTTTCTTAGAGACAGACACACTCTGACACGGTGGTTGATACTATCTCACAGAAGATTAAGAATTTTTCTAAACTCTTCCAAGATACTTCATGGTCATATTTAGGTTGCATATGTAGAACAATAATTACTTTTTCCTGATCTCTGGTGCATTTGTACTCTTACAAAAAGACAAAGTGCAGACGAAGGGGGGAAAGGGGTCTGTATGGAAAAACAATCCATAATTCAACACAGAATGTACTGTGCAGAGTCAGGTAGTTTAAGGGAAGTACATTTGCATCTTGTTGTCTATAAGCCATAAGGTATCAAAATACATACACACTAAAAGGCTGAAAGAACTGCAGGGGTGGGGAAGCCATCTCACCTGGGACGGTGCTCTAGGAGGAAGGCCCTGGATTAGAAGAGGAAGAATGGCCTTTTGGTTAAGGAATTCAACTGGGACCCAAGAGACCTTTGTTCTGTTCCCAGATTTCACAGATGTCTTGTTTGTCCTTAACCATATAACGTAATCTCTGTGCCTTGGTTTCCCACCTGTAAAATGAGTATACTACTTCCCTGGCTCCCAGGGGGCTTGTGAGGATAAAGTCCGTCTTTGCGAGATGCGTGGTAATATAGTGATGGAAGCTATATGTGTACCCAGATTTGTAGACAGAAGCATGGTATAAGAGGCAGTGGGGATGAGAGCTGTAAGGGAGGGACGGGAGGGATGTGAGAAGCAGTGTGCATGTGGAGGGTAAAAGGGAAAGCCCTCGGTCATGTTTATTTTTGCATAACTTGGGGGAGGTTGGCCAAGATCTGAGCTTGATTTATATTCTACTGCTTAGAAAAATAAGGTGCTTTGGCACTAGTTTATGTATCTACATATATTGTTTTCTTTTTCAGCTTCCGCTTCATTAACGCCAGATTTATTATCTCCAGGAAGTTCAAATGTATCTTCTCCCTTACCTTGTTTTGGATCCTCATTCCAATCTACAACTTCCTTTGTCATTAGTGATATCACAGAGGAGGCAGAATTAGAAATTCCGGAGCTTCCATCAGTTTCCATGCTTTGTTCTGCAACCTCTGAATGTTGTAAACCAGAACCAAAGGATGCTGACGAGGAAGATTCTGTGTCTCTTTCGAAGGCCAGCAGTTTTGCAGACATGATGGGCATACTTAAAGACATTCATAGGATGAAACAGAACAAAGATTTGTAAGTCTTTCCTGAACCTCTTTTATTTTCTGCATGAACGCTCCTGTCCTCTTTTTTGTTTCAAAGCATTGTAGACACATTGAATATTGTGTTCATCTGCTTGTCTTTCATGCTATAATCATGCTTTACAAAGAAATATTTGTCGTACGTTAGAACTGCTGATATTTCTAGATCTGTTTTATTTGCCTCCCAAATGATTGCCTTTGAGCCAAGCCTTTGAATTTAAGGGTAGAAAACAATGGAGAGAAGGGGAGGTACTGCAAGTCTCCTAGCACACTGCTTGACAACTCTGCTTCAACCCATCCACACCAAAAATCATCTTGCTTTTCTTACTGTTTAGCAAAATGTGTGGGGAGAGGAGACATCCATGAGTGAAGCCCTCTGAGACACTGCCTTACTATTGTCCGATATCTGCACACCCCTCACCTCTAAGCTCTGTGTGCATTCCATGCAATGTCTGATTAGGCAAACCGCCCACCTCATGCTTTTTTCCTCATAAGCGCTGTCCTGAAAGCAGATTTATCGTACTGTTGTCTTGTAACCTGGGAATGCCAAGTCACTGACATGCTTACCTGTGCATTGTCGGAGACAGGACCCTCCCGCTGAAGAAATACCTTCTCTAATATCTCAGCTGGCCTTTGTACTGTCCTTGTTTCACATGGGCGACATGGAATTAGACTGATGACGCTCAGCCCTTTCACCAGCACGCTCCAAAATCCATGTGGCCACTTCTATGGTATTGTGGGGAGCCCTATTCAATATCAGAATAAAGAACATTTTGAATCATCATTATGTTCCTTTATGAATTTTATGCCTAATCCAATTGAAGAGAAATGTAATTCTCTGGCACCAAACAAAAGTATACCAAAAAATAAAACACTGAAATATACTCTGTACAGCTCAGCCTGCACTGATGTATCATTGCTCTCAAATTTTCCAAAGAAATATTATTCAGAAGTGGAAATTTATCCCTCCTCCATTATATAATTCTTGCCATTAATCTTTCTGGAGGCTGGAGTAGGAGTCAGAGCTTAAATGAATTTCTCCCGTTCATGAATACACTGGATATGTATCCTCTTTTGAATTGCAGATTGAAGTTTTTTTCTGCCTGTCCAAAGGAGCTTTTTTTGGCATCCTTTGCAATGTTGATTTATCCCAGTCAAAGGAGATGTAATTTTCAAAAAAGTACTTGTCGTTTTGCAGGATTTAGTGGGGTTGCATCAACTTCCGTTGTCAGGCATTAGGTAATTTAGTCTGCGATGTCGTATTTGGTAAATGTGAATCATCTTCTTTTGGTGATTGAAAGCCAGACTTTCTTCAGACTGTTAAATTTGAACCTCCATCAGAAATGGACTAAAACGTAGCTAAAGTGCCTACATTTGTTACACTTGTGCAACACAATATTTAACCCTAATTGAATAAATTCATTTTCAAAAAGATAAAGTAAACTTCTCCTGGAGGATAAACTCTTGTGTGGAGGGAAATTGCCAAACACCTGGGGCATATTGGGCCTGGGAATCGTGCACTATGCAGAACAACGCTGATCAGGGAAAGACCTGCAATGGAAGATTCAGGAAGCTCATTCCCCATGTCAGAAGCTGCAGAGAAGGCAGCTCTCACACCAGCATTCCCGGGATCACTGGGAAGGTGCTAGATGAATAGGGATTGGTGCTGAGGCATTTCACAAGGTCTCTGAGGCGGACTGGCGCAAATCCGTGGAGAGTTTTAGAAACCAGCATGGTGACTTTTTTAGGCTTAATCTTAAAATGACTGTTGTAGTGGATGCACTTGGTCGAGCAGCTTGGTTAGCATGAGAATGCAGATAGCAATATTATCCCCATGCTGGACCTATTCAGTCATCTTGCGTGGGGCAGTCCCTTCAACAGACATAGCTGAAGTCCTCTTAAAAGCTTGTCATGGATGGGATGGGGGGATTATGGTATAAGTGCTCGTATTTTGACTTTATGCCTCCCTGGCCAAAATGCATAGGGATAACTAATGATGAATGAAAAGGACTGTTTGTGGGATGTTTTACATCTTGTTCCTGAACCAGCTGAATAGAAGAATGCCACTGGGGTGAATATTGGGCAGGAGGGTAGGGAGAGAGAATGTCGGACACAACCTCTCCCTAGGATCAGCAGGAACGGAGCACCGCCACTGAGAACAAATCTAGGTGAAACTGTGCCCCTGCCTGTGACCGGAGGATTTGAGGACCACCGCAGGCTTTAACTCTTCCAGCAACTATCCTCCCCCGCTCCCCGTGCAGGGAAGGCTCTAGTGTGAACCCTCAGGGCATTTCAGATAAAGTTAAAGGACTTGTCCAGCACAGCAAGATTTGATGGTGTTGACGTATACGCGGCTGGTTATGCAGATCGTTCTATACAAGGCATGTTTGACTTTCAGGGTAGCACCATCCTCTTCTTTTCCAGTCATTCTATTTCCCCAAATGAGATGGAATTGCATGATTCCCCAGGAAGTCCGTATACATCCACCTGAACAGTAGGTGAGTCTCGTGCCGTGAATAGGCTCTGCGTAGGTGGGGGACAGGTAATCTGAGCCAGGGGAATGGATGTACAGCCAGCCGTGATAACACACAGCTATGCAGAGGGTGGCACAGAGAAAAGGGCCCGATTTTCTTGCTGCTTATTTATCAGCGGTTCCCATTGACTTCACTGGAAGTCACTCAGCTGCAGGAGCAAGAGAATGGGACCAGTATAATTTTAGGGACGGGGGGTACACATACACTGCTACGACCGTGCTGCTGTAGCGCCACAACATAGACACTTCCTGTGTCAACGGAAGGGGATTTTCTGTTGCTGTAGTTAATCCACCTCTCCAAGAGGTGGTAACTAGGTCGGAAGAAATTCTTCCATCCACCTAGCTGCCTCTACACTGGGGTAGTTTGAGTTCACCATGGCACAACAGTCTTCAAAGCCCTGAGCAACTTAACTAGATGGATCTAATTTTTAAGTGTAGACCAGGCATGTATCTGATGGTTTATGCCTTTCTCCAAAGAAGGGGCTAGTTCTTCTCTAGGTAGCTATGTTCCAATGGCCTTATTCCATGAAGGGGCGGTATTACCAGTAACTATTAGCACAGACGTCTATAAAGTAGAATACAAATGTCTTGTATGAGGATATCTAACAAATTCTATCCCACTGGGACTGGGCGGGCAGAGAGCAGGAAGAGCTCTGCTTTTCTGTTCTGCCAAGTTAGCCGAGGCCTGTTTCCCACAAGGAATAACTGCTTGCCTGATTAACAGGAGAAGCTGAATCACATTGTATGCAAATTTATTTTAGTGTATTATTGATAGCTCTGGTTTTTTTCCTGATGGGGTTCAGAATGAATGGCCCAGATGTTAGGCAAATACTGCGGTAGCAATAGCAGGAATTGCCATGTCTCCAGTGGATTTACCAAAAGATAACGGCATTCATTTGTGGAAAGGTTGTGGTGATGTGTGTTTTCGCCAATGCTTCCTCTGAGGCTGTATAACCAAATCTATAACCATAGGCTTCACACCATGTATTGCTCTTGTCTGTCCCTCTATCTTAGCCTATTGCCTTGCCTCCAGTGTGTATAGTACATGCGCTTGGAGATGAGGGTTACAATATCTGAATGAGAGCTGGGTGAATAGCCGTGAATAATGTATTCCATGTGACTTTGCAATTAACTGATGAACAATTGTCTTCATTGTTTGACCAGCACAAATTGATGATTGCCCTCCAGGCCAGCCCCATACCATGGTGACGTGCCATACATCTGACGAGAGTTAGTTGGGACTCCCTAATATGCTGTGGGGGGAGCAGCTTGTACCTCCCTGACCGGCTGAATACAGCACTTACTTATTGTTGGCCTGGAGAACAATAACAAGACCCTAGAAGTCTGGATTTCTTGTGGTGAATTGCTGGGCTTGAATTGCCCAGCCCTAGAATCTAATTGATATGGCTTTTGCTGTCTTATCCTGCTGACGTCAGTTCCGTATTTCACATAAAATGTTTAGTGAACAAAAACAAGTGAATGTGAAAAGATCGGGTGGGGTTATTCTTAGAACACCTGTTATTTCGCAGCTGATGTACGTTAATGAGTTGTGAAATATCCTTGCCACAGCCACCTATAGTAAATGATCTCACTCAGCTTAGAACTGATTATAGAGTCATTGATCTCTTTGAGGTTATTGTGGTGATCATATGGACATCCCAGCAGGAGCGGGTGTAGAAGCAGCATCATGGGTGTCTGACTCAGAAGAATCATGAAACAGCATGAACTGAAGTTGTTTTCAAGAGGCAGCCTCCCTGGGGTCTGTCCCTCGTCTGACCAGTTTCCCGAACTCAGATGGTACCAGAGCCAGCAGTATAAAGTGAATATGTAAAAGGAGTTAAATGACCATTTTAATTTTTGTGGGTGGAGATGCCATTTACACCTAACAAGATGATTAAATCCATGCTTCTCTGATGCTCCTGTTTAGGAACTGGTGTTAAAACCCACAGCCTGGAAACTTCAGGAATGAGTATGAGACATTTGCATGTTTCCACCATTAAAATCAGAATAGAGCCCTTTTAATATCTGCTGCCTTTTGGAAAGGAATTGTCTGTGTAGTGTTCCAGCTGATCCGTTCATTCAGTGTGTGGTTAAAAACATTTAGCGTGAAGATCTGCTTTGAATGTGAGTACGTTTTTATAAGTACTGGTCATGGGATTGATCTAATTCAGGTGTAATTGCGCATTAATTTGTCCATGATTACTTCCCTGGCTGTTGGAGTTCTTCAGTGAGAATTTCTAAAGAATCAAGATGCCGATATGATGTTGGTTGAAGGTACTGCCTCTGCTGCTAGTTGCCTGGTGTCAGTTTTCTACAATAGCTGCTGGTTGTGCGCTGCTGCTGGAGGCTTGTTCTCTCCCTCTGATAGATTTCCCCCACACCTCTTTTTGCTACCCATGGTGGGGATGAGCTTTTTCCTTGTATTCAGTACAACTTCCGTCTTTATCGCTGCAGTCTCACTTTGCCTCTGCCCATCCAGCCTCTTCCTGCATCTGCTCTTGGCTTCCCTCCTACACCCATTGCCCTTTGGAAGCAGTTTATTGGAACTCTGGGTGATTTTGGATTCTCTTAAGCTTCCCCAGGTGGAGGAGTGGCTTCAGAAGTTCTTCCAAGTCCATGCTCTGAACTCTATCTACCTGTCTCTGCACTTGTATCAGAGGGAATCCTGATTCTGGTGAAATCAGTGGAGTGTTTCTATCTACTGTCATGATTTAAAAGCTGAAGTTAAACAGTGCATTACAATTGTGGACTAAGGCCTTGCCCCTGCAGACACTTCACGTGGCACTGGGGGTTCAGGCCTGAAGCCATGGGTTACTTGTGAACTTCTTAAATCTAATCACTGAGTCTAGTAAAAGCTTTCAGTGAGTGGCTGCAGGTGTTTAAAACAAATACAGCAAACCGTAATTATTTTTTGCTTTAATCTAGTTAAAAATAATTGACTCTTTTAGAGGCTTTTAAAAGATTTCAGAACTCGTGGAATGTTTTCCAGCTATAGGGAATTTTTACTCTAAAATATTAAACTCTGAAATCAGTAGCTGTTCTCATGGGATCTTTATTTTCAAGTATCAGGAATGACCCAATATAATTCATACCTTTTTGGTTTCTTGTGAAGTCAGCTCCCTTGTTGTAAAGTAAACTGATCACCAGGACTCATAAGACGCAGGACCCACTGCCTGCCTGCCATGCAAGACTAATGTTGGATTATGTGAGGAAAAGGGGAGGTAAAACTGAAGAATCCTCTTTTTATTGCACCAAGACATGCCAAGTGAGCAGTGTACCCATTTCACGATTAACATCATCATAGATAATTAGTTCTTCTGTTTCAGTTCAAAGTAATGTCCTTTGGTTTTAATAAAGGAGGAGGGCAGCCTGCATACTGCTTGTATTTTGTGCATTTCTTCTTACCTGTTATTAACACTTCAGATTTAAAGCAGAGGGGTAGGGGGGAAATTAACGTAGACTGGGATTTTTTACACCACATGGGGCATTTAGACTGCACAGTTTCCCCTTGAAATTAATGGGAACTGTGTCTCTATATTTCCTAGGCAGCTTGCAAAATTACAGCCTTAATGTACTACTCACTTTGTCTTCTATTCAATTTTTGCACTTTACCCAACTCTGACAGACTGTCAGGGTTCCCAGTGCTGCAGGGAAATGTTGAAATAAAAAAGGGGTTTCAGTGACACACAATTTTCTCATAATTTAGTTTATAAAACAATTTTTTTAAACAAAATCCTAAAGCTTGGGCCTAGCAGAGACAGTGTCATCTACAGACTTTGGAGAATCTCTATCCAAATTGCTGTTAATACATTTTAATTTTGTATCTCCATCAGGAACCGAACTTTATTGAAGGAGGAAGACCCGGCTGTTCTAATATCAGAAGTGTTAAGAAGAAAATTTGCTCTAAAGGATGAAGATGTAACCATGAAAGAAAACTGACTTTACACTTTCATTTAAATCTGTAAGCAAGTGTATCGTGCTCCTGAGATTTCTCCACAGTAGCTGCCTTCCTAAGGATCAAACTTTTTTGCCTCTTTACTAATTAGAAATTATTTCTGCACTGGAAACTTATTCAAGAAAGCAACTGTGGATTTGCAGTGTTTTCCATGTCTCTAAAATATATAAAAACTTTTTAAGAAAAAGGAAATTTTCCCACATATTTTGAAGCATTACTGGTAACAGTGTCTTCTACAGAGTGATGCGAGTGTTGCTAAATGAAGTTCTCTTCCTATCTGTGTTTTCCCCAAGGTGACTTAAACTTGAATCATTCATTTGACTCATGATGGTCTTGTTGCAATATGACTAGCTAATTTATAATATAAATGGACATAAAGCATCTAATTCTTTTTCTGTTCAGGGAAAGTCAGGTGCAAAGCTAGCAATGAGAGTAAATTGCTTCTTCCTTTCAGGCTGTCAGTTTTTAGGAAGTTCTTACTGTATTGAGGGTGGTTTAAGAGCTTGCATTATTTCCTCAAAAAAGGATTCCCTTCCCTAAAGTTTCTTCCACTTACTTTCTTGTCCCATTTGGGACAGGAGAAATTAAAATGAATTATCAAACCATTTAACCAAGCTCAATTTGCTAGACTGGTGTTGGCTGGTGAGTGACTTTTAAATAGTTTGTAATATTTGAAAGATCAAAATATCCCCGAGTCACATTACACGACACTTATATCCTGCCCTAAGGTAACTTGTCAAGAATTCCAGGTGTTACATTAAAATGATCTCTTTATTCAGATTAACTTTATTTTATTAATATAAAATTCAGTAAGAATTTTGCCCAGTTAATGTGATTCAAAGTTTATCTACTGAATCATCAAAGCTAGGAGTTGAGTCCTGTAGAAAACCATGTGGGGAAAAGGAAAGGAGAGAGAAGTCCACTGTTGAAGTGTCATTCTGTGCTAACGTCTCTCAGCTGTATTCAAGGTCGATGATGATTCCTTTATATAAATGGATCCCTATACGTGGTTCTCAGCTTGCTAACAACTGTGCTGGGTTTTTTTGAGGATTGGTACTGTCTGCTTGTACTGGTATCTGAAACATTGTTCATAGAAGAGTATCACTGTCTTGAGCCGCAGCAATTGTTTTGGGATGTTTCTGCTGCAACAAAGGGCATGGATGTTCTCCATGTTGACTCAACTTGACATCTGTCTGCCAGCAATCACTTGGTCGTGTGGCTCCCTCTTCCTGGTCTCTCCTGTGTTGCTTTTGAGCAGCTGGTGCTTTCTTGTGAAGTCACTCTACTGTCCTTGCAACTTAGCAGAGAATTGAAAAGTCAGCACATGCCTGTTTAAACTACTGTGTCAGGAATGTGTTGAGTGAGCAGCTCTCACAATATACTTGTGCTGTAGGAAAATATACACTACATTGTTGTTCTGCCTGAAGCACATCACATACAGTTGGTATCTAACCCCATTCGTTCTGACTTATCACCAGTGCTGTAATGGGATTGTCAGGCTTGATTTGTGTCAGTTGTAGGATGGGATAGTATAAGTGGGTGGACTGGCTGGCACATATTTTAGTCCTTGGTGTGGAATGATAATTTCAAAGATGCATTGCACAAGATACAATCCTCTGCTGTGACACCAGCTGCTGAGTCAATAGGGAAGATTAGCCCCCTTTCCCAAAATGCATCTGTATCCATGCATCTGTGGACATACTTTATTGTCAGAGGAAAATATGGGAACCTGGTCCCACATAATAGGAACAATACTGGATCAGCTACTGCAAGTGATTGCACTTTTGTGTAATCTTCCTGCCCTATACTAGCATGCTGCCTTTGAATGGGGTGAACTGGCCTCTCAAATGTACCCAAGCCAGATTCTTCCCTACTCTGGCAGTGTGACCAGTGGGGAAAAAACCACACTTCAAGTCCAGATTCACTCCTGCAGCCAGTAACTGGCTCAGAGAGGGGGAGGAAGCTTGCTCTGTTACAACCCCCTGCTGGTAGGGCCAGCAAGAAAAGTCACACTGTGACTTCCTCCCCATCCTCCTTACTGTGGCAATTGTGGGGCCCTGCAGATTATGAAGCCAGATCTGGCAATAGAAACCTTGAGATTACCACTATTTTGAAATAAGTAAACCTGTCACTGTACTCTTACTTTATTTAAGCACGCTGGTGGCAATCACAACTAGCACTGATGGTCTAGAATCCCACCCTGTACACAGCTACAACCTTTGGCTTTCAGTCTGAAATGCTGGTTGTGTACATCTCTTCCTTCTCCACACCAGCTACCTTTGGTAGGGATGGTACAACTACAGTTTCTGATGATGATGATTTTTGATTTGGCTACTGAGCCAAGTAGCTTAATCCTACTAATTTAATGAAGGGACTGATGCAGGAAAAGATGTATAGGTGACAGTTGTGCCCATTAAGAAGCATTATAGCTTTCTATATAGCACACATGCTCCCTTTAAGTCAAATTATTATTCTGTTGCTATAGTAACATAAGAATTACCATACACCAGAACAGGGGTCCATCTAGTCAAGTAACCAGTACCACATGCTTCAAAGGAAGTTGCAAGCAACTTAGTTCCAGTCCTCATAACACCTGTCAATTAGGGATTGCCCTATATGCTGAAGCAAGAGGGTCTGTGTCCTTTACAAACTTTGTTTTTAAATAATCCCAGGGCTGTTCTTAGCTATATACATGTCCAGTCCATTTTTGACTCTTAAGTTCTTGACCTCAGAGACATCTTGTACCAGTGAATTCACACCACTTGAACGGGCAGCTGAACCTAAATTTTGGGGGCAGATAATCCACCTGTAGATGTGTTGTGAGACACTAGACTACACAGCGTGGGTCCTCAGGTTTGTGGACTCTGGGGAGCTGATGTTGGGAAATCTTTAACTTGGACTTCCAAGCTGTTGAGCCATATTGCAATATTCAAATCTTATGAGATGAGTGGGAATGTTCTAAATCAAGGGCAAGGTATCTTTTTTTCCCTTAAGTCTTGAATAGTAATGGGCCCTTATTCCTCAACATGTAGGATTGAAGGTACCCCTCATGCTTCCTTTTATATAGAGCCACCACTAAGCAGAGCCTTGCCAAACATGCAATTTTTGGTGACCCCCCCCCTCCCAAAGAGCTTATTCACTCAGCTACAATGTGTGAGAACATGGTGCCTGGGTTCATCTGAGCAGGGCATCGGAAAGAACAGATGTGGAAACTTGATTACAACACATTTTACTATAAAATGATCACTTTATTTGCACACCTATAATCTCTTTTTAATCAAAGACAATCCTGCATGCAGAGTAAGTAGCCTGTGCGTTTGGGTCTATACCACTCATAGCCAAAGGCCGTGTATGCAATGTGTACACTTACATAGTCCTTGTATCTTTCTTAAAGAAAGTGATGCACTGTGTAGGCTTCAGAAGAATTTTCATGTATATTAAAAAATGTCAATTTTTCAGCATCCTGTTTACTCAGAAAAAAATTACTACTGAATCAGTGTTTGATAATTCTATTTCCTTCTGAATCCTCTGTGAATAACAAATCATAGCATGACTCAGGCTCACATAAATTCATGGCTGTAGTAGCTAAAGGAGTCCTGTCCCGTGCCCCTGAAGAATAAACCTTAAAGCAGTCTACAGAGGGTGGGCTAGGCACCCTATGGACAAAGTTGGTTTTGTCCTGTAGATACTTTTTCTGCAACGGTGATCTGACACTCTCATAGAAGCGCTGGTGAGAAATGACTCTGTATCCCTCTGAATCCTGGGTAAACAACTGTGTGGTAGGACTACTTGCACTGGCCCCCTGCTCTTCTGCTGAACCAGCCATATTGTGACAGTTTCTTGTCCAAAAGCCAGCAAAATTTTGACTACTGTCTCTCAAAAGCTCTGCTTTAGTTGTTCGCCCCTGGGATAGAGGACAATTGGTCTGCTGGCCTTCATTACCCTTGGGTGCAGGACACACATTCTCAACCTCTGACAAATCCATAAAAGAAATTCCACCAGGGGGCAGGTTTTTGCATCTCCTCTTACCTTGCTTCATCAAGTGTGTAGGTTTGAGACCTACTCTAGTTCTCCCCCTCTCGGAGCACAAATGGCCATCTTTCTCTCCTATAAAGTAACTCTCTCTCTTCCTTGAAATTATCCCATTTGCTACAGCTATTCTTCCAGTGAATGAGTCAGCTGAATTCCTGTGAGCTAGAACCCTATTTCCCTCTGAATCCTGGGTGAAGTTTATGGAGAGAAAGTCTTCTGTCTCACCAGCAGAGGTCCTTGCAATGGCTGTGCACTCACTCCTGCTGTTAGACTGTGCTTGTGGGAAGGTATAATTCAACGGGGGAATGTTCAAGCCTTGTCTGTTTTGTACAAGAGGCTGGCTACACTCCTGAATGTTGTCCTCCTGAGGGCTCAAGGTTGGTGCCTGGGCTTCCTCTAACTTAGCAGCCCCAGAGCTCTTCATAGAGGAGGCGGCCAAGAAATCAGAGCCTTTTCCTTTATTTGACATAAGAGGATATGTCTTTAAGTTTTCTTCATCATCCTTGTCACCTGGAAAAAACAATGTACTTGAATAAGACAACACAGCTGATATGCAAACTCTTCAAACTCAAGATTAGTGACCACACAATTATGCCTCTCCCATGCTTGATTTAGACAACTCTACACTGTCCTCCACCCCTCCTTTAATTAATTTGGACACAACCAGACTCTCTCCTATTTCACAACATCCTAATAGTTCTACCTCCTGGTAGAAATTAGTGAGACGGCTGGTGCAATATGTGAAGCAAGAAGATGACAGTCAAGCAAGTTCTGCCTCCCATGAGGGAGAAGTGAAGTGATATCTGAGCAGTTCCAAGCTCCCCTTGATGCTCCGTCTCTTCTTCAGGCCTCCCCCAAAGAGTCAAATTCCAACTTCAGTAAAGCCATTCCACCAACTTAAGTTCCCCTTACACTTTCAATAGGATGTGCCTTTTAACAGTTATGTAATGCCTGTTTTCCACCCCTAAGGTGGCTGCAGTGATTTTGATGACACTGTATATTTGTGAAGTGCTTTACCAATGAACAGTTCAATAGAAATTAAGATTCTAATAAATCTTCCTCTGATACAAAGTGGTCTGATTGCTGTTTAGTGATTAACTACTGGAAGATGCTTCACTTCTTTATAAATTAGTGATGCACAAGGAATTGGAAAACTGAACTGTAAAATTTTCCAGACACCTCATCTCCTTCTTGAAAGGAGCAAAGAAACAACAGAATAAGTCTTCTGCTTTTGAAACCATTTGAAATAGTGTAATTTCTAAATCCTACCCCAAGATTCTAGCTTTTTCTCAATTTCAGAATAAAGAGTTAATATTTACGCAGCAATAGAAAACTCTGTAGAAATTACTGCAGGGAAGTCTCTAAATCTATAGTGAAAGAAAGGATAGTAGCCTTCATACAGAAAATCCACAGGGAGCAGGAAACAGCACAAAGCATAAGCAGAGGTTGAATGGCACTACTACAAGCCCTGCCCACTAGAGACAAATAAAATCAGACTCACTCATAGTAGTGTGTGCAAGTGTTTAAAAAAATATCATTCAAGATTAGTAGGCTGAGCTCCCCCAAGGCCATTGTTGCGCTCACTCCAACAGCCAGAGCACACAAATGTAAAAAGCACTTTTCATCATAAACTGAGCCATGGCTTAGCTCGCAGTCAGCATTTCTGAGCTGAAATACCGTTAGATAAAATTCAATGACACTAGATGGACCCAGTTGACTAAACCAATTAGAGATGTGTCCACAGTCTGAGTACACTCCTTCCCCTACCACCTCCTCTCAGCTTCAAGACTTCAGGGTTAACATGCTACCCTTCCCAACAAAGGTCCTGATCCTGTAGCCCTTCCACAGCACAGTGCTCCTCTTTAAATCAATGGGAGTTTTGCACAAACAGTGAATTGTAGCATCAGTTCCAAATTTATAAAAACCACACAGGATGAATTGGGCACCTAATTCTTTTAGGTTAATCCCAGCCTTTAACATTTGTAGGGAATACAATCTGACAAACGTGGGAACGGATCTGAATGGTCTTTGTTCATTTTGGGTCAGATTTGCCCATCCCATGCTTTTTAGCCTCTAATTTAGGCTACCTGACAGAAGCAATGCTGGAAAGTGTTCAGACTCCTAACTGCCACCAGCAAAGGCATTCTCTGTCTCTGCCCATGGTAAATGCCTTGAAATGAGACTAGGTGGATTTTCTGTCCTGTCAGGAAAATAAATATGTATGTATGTATGCATGCACAGAGATTTGGTCAATCTTTCTAGTGTACTCGGAGGAGGAAGACTTCCCAGCCAGCAAGCCATAATTTTTAGCCAGGTTCTGTGAATATTAACCTAATCCTGAATAAGTAACATATGATGTAGCATGATACGATAACGTTTCACTGTAACTTCGCCATATTAAAAAGTTGTGTTTGTGTGTGTGTGTGTATTTGCAAAAATTGTTCTACAGTACCTGTTGGTTGAATGCTGAAGAACGAAGAGATGGTAGTTTGCCTGGTGTATGGCTGAGAAAGTCTTGTCTGAGTAAAATTAACTGAAATGTGACTATTATAGTTCCTCTCAAGAAGTGGATTTGGCATGTTTGAAGTTGGCTTGGATACGAGAGTCTGGGTGGGGAGAGAAGTGCTAGAGTGAATTTAACTTGTCAACAGCGACATAACTCCCCTCTCCTTGTTATTCCCTTTATCTCCTTTCATCTACAGTTGTACCACACTGCTTGAACAACCTTCTTCCCCAAGAAGCCACATTTCCTACCTCTTCACCTTTAAATCCTTCCTTGCTTCTTTGCACTGCTAGTCTCTGTTAGAATACTCCCCACTTGCACATCTGAGACAATTCAGTGATAGCTCATTAAAAAAAAAAAAAAAAGGGAGAGGTAAAATGCTCTAGGCTTCTTCCTCTGCCAATCTCTCTTGTTCCCATGCTATGATATCTCCTCATGTGAGCCCTCTAACTTGGATTTTAATCTCCTGAGGGCAGAGAACATTGTATGCTAGGTTTGTAAAGAGCTGTACAAAGCTATGACATCACAAATAGTATAGATTTAGTACCTGTATTTTGCGCTTCTTTAACTTTGCAGTGTCTAGCCAGATGCCACAAGTCTCGAACTGCTCAGCAGTGCTTCTTTTTCTTACACATTTCATGGCTGATCCTTTTTCTGTATACAAATAATGAGGGACCTGCTGCAGCCTGAAATAAGAAGGCAGGCTAGAGCATCACCAGCAGTGTTCTTGTATATGTTCTGTGCGAGGACAGGAACAATTTCCAGTGCAGTAGTGGGAGAGTGGGCAACAGGGATATGAAACTGACTCACTGTGAGACCTTGGGCAAGTTATTTCATCCTTTGCATCTCATTTACCAAAGGATAAGTTGGTAACTGCTTGGAAAGCCCTTTGAGATCTACTGTGTAAGTGCCAAATAATAATTATAATGATAATGTGCTTTGTAACTGGCTGCTTGTAAAAAATGTTTGCGGCTTCTCTTTCACACAGTTCTTAGCACAGCTGGATTTATAATTGCTGGAAACACTTGAGGCTATGGCTTCACTGCAAAATTAATAGGAGTTATCTACACTGGAGTTAGCCTAGCTTGAGTGAGAATGGCCACATGGTGGGTATGTATATATTGCAATAACTGGGATGTACCCAAGCTAGCTTTCATCTAGCTAGCTCAGGTCCCAGAGCAGCAAAACCATGGCAGCACTAGCTGTGCAAACCTGCCCAGAAACCTGGATAGTTACTTGAGGATGGTGGGGCTAGTCCACACTGAAGTTTATACTGCTTCTGCTTCACTGTTCCAGGACCCAAACTACCTAGCTCAGGTATGTCTGTTCAAGCTGCAATCACACTCCATGACTGCAATCCAGACATACCCTGTGAAGTAGCACAGAAGCTGCATGTCTATACTGGTACTGCATGCACTGTTGTGTTTTAACAGGGCCACAGTGAATGGTCAATAACTGATCTGCAGGGAGGAGATGAGACAAGGGCCTATGGCCCAGGGCAGTGCGAGAGAAAGGGGCATAGGAAGGCCAATAAGGCTCCATCAGCAGCTCTTTAATGACCTGAAAATCAAAAAGGAATCCTACAAAAAGTGGAAACATGGACAAATTGCCACGATGGAGTACAAAAAAATAGCACAAGCATGTAGGGACAAAATCAGAAAGGGTAAGGCACAAAAGGAGTTACATGTGCCAGGAGACATAAAACCCAGTAAGAAGAGATTCTTTAAATATATTAGGAGCAAGAGAAAGATGAAGGAAAGTTTAGATCCTCAACTTAGTGAGAAAGGAGAGCAAATAACTGATGACATCAAGAAGGCTGAGGTGTTTAATGCCTATTTTGCTTTGGTCTTCACTGGAAAGGTTAAGGGTGAGCAGATACTCAACACAATTAATATTAACAACAAGGGGGAAGGAACATAAGCCAAAATAGGGAAAGAACAGGTTAAAGAATATTTATATAAAGTTATATGTATTCAAATCGACAGGGCCTACTGATTCTTAAGAAACTAGATGAAGCAATCTCTGAACCTTTAGCAATTATCTTTGAGAACTCATGGAAGATAGTTAAGGTCCCAGAAGACTGAAGAAGGGGAACAAAGACGACCCAAGTCAGCCTAACTTCGATACCTGGAAAGATGCTAGAACAAATTATTAAACAATTAATTTGTAAGTACCTAGAGGATAACAGTTATAAGGACTAGCCAGCATGGCTTGGTCAGGAAAACATGCCAAACCAACCTAATTTCCTTCTTTGACAGGTTTACAGCCTAGTGTATGGGGGGGAAGCTGTAGAGGAGAAATATCTTGATTTTAATAAGGTTTTTGACACAATCTCACATGACATTTTGATAAGCAAACTAGGGAAATGCAGTCTATATGTAATTGCTGTAAGGTGGGTGCACAACTGGTTGAAAGACCACATGCAACATGGTTTTCAATGTTTCACTGTCAAACTGGGAGGATGTATCTCGTGAGATCCCTCAGGGGTCAGTCCTGGGTCTAGTAATATTCAAGGTTTTCATTAACAACTTGGAAAATGAAGTGGAAAGCATGCTTATAAATTCTGCAGATGACATCAAGTTGTGAGATGTTGCAAGCACTTTGGAGGACAGGATTAGAATTCAAAAGGACCTTGACAAATTGGAGAAGTGATTGAATTCAACAAGATGAAATTCAATACAGATAAGTGCAATGTATTTTACGTAGAAAGGAAAAATCAAATGTGCAATTACAAAAGGGGAAATAACTGACCAGGGTGGTAGTACTGCTGAAAGGGAGCTGGAGGTTACGTGGAAGACATGGGCGGTAACTGTCCCACTCTATTCAGCGCTGGAGTACTGGACCCAATTATGGGAACTGCACCATAGGAAAGATGGGGAGAAACTAAAGTAAGTCCAGAGGAACACAACAAACATGATAAAAGGTTTAGAAACCTGATCTATGAGGAAAGGTTAAAAAAACCTGGGCACATTTAGTCTTGAGACTGAGGGGGTACGGGATAGGAGCCATCATATATGTGAGGGGCCATTATAAAGAGACCAATTGCTCTCAGCACCCTGTGAAGGCAGGACAAGGAGTAATCGGCTTGCCGGGCAGCAAGGGAGATCCGGGTGAGCTGGTAGGAAAGCTCTTGAACTCCCCGGACAGATGCTAAGGGAGGCGGGGGACTCCCCATCCCTGCAGATGTTCAAGAACAGACTGGATAAGCCCCTTGCGTGGTCTGCCCCGAGCCCACTGCTGCTTGCTCCCAGCCCTCCCCCATCCACTCCCCCCCCCCCGCCCCCCCCCCCCCCCCCCCCCCGCCCCCCCCTGCTCTGCCCCCCCCGCCCCCCCATCCGCTCCTCACCCCATCTTCCCTACCCCAGCCCCCCATCCACTCCTCACCCCCAGCCTCCCAACTCGCCTCACCCCCATCTTCCCTACCCCAGCCCTTCCTGAACCCCCCTGCTCTGAGCCTCCAGCCCTCCCCCATCCACTCCTCACCCCCAGCCTCCCAACTCCTCTACCCCAACCCTTCCTGAGCCCCTATCCGCTCCTCACCCCCAGCCCCCCTCGCTCCCAGCCCTTCCTGAGCCACCCCCATCCGCTCCTCACCCCCAGCCTCCCAACCCGCCTCCCCGGGGCTCCAAACGGCAGCGAGCTCCCCCACAAACACCCCTCACAGGGGCCCCGACTGCTCCTCGCCCCCAGGGCCGGCACCAGGCACCCAAGCTGGTGCTTGGGGCGGCACCTGGAG